CTGCATCTCCTGCCAACTTGTTGTTTTTCGCGCGTAAGTGTTTTAATTTCCCTGTCATTAGGTGTAAATTACCCACGATGTTCAGATCTTCTGGAGTCTTCTTGTCCGTTCAACGTGTATCATCTTCTCGCTCCCAGCACACAGTCTGACGCATAATCCAGCCCACCACAATTAGGAATACCACTGGTATCAGTAGGCAGCCTTGTCTTACTCCTACATTCACTTCAAGGCGTAACTGAATTTTCTTTTGTGCATCAAGCGGAATGTGCAATTGTCATATAGCTGTTGAATGAGGTTGATAAAGATTTGGCCACTCCGTAGAAATGAAGCAGTTTCCGAGTCGCTTCGCTGTCAACGCTATCGAAAGTCTTCCAAAAGTCGATGAAACTGAAGTAGAGGCTTGACTACCACTCAAGATTCTGTTTGAGGATAAAGTGTAGATTTGCAATTTGGTTACAATATGATTGGCGTTTCCTGAATCCGTAACGTTCCGGTCGGGGTTCTGCATCCAGTGCATCTGCTAGTCACGACTTAGAATTTTGCTTAGCACCAACAAGACGCCGGTTCTTGCAGAGGTCTAGGTCACTATTTTTTGGCAGTTCCACAAGGTAACGTTCCTCCCAGACTTTTCGCAATATCGGCGTCTGCATACTCGCTACGGTATCTAGATCCGTTCTTAGGACTTCAGAGGGAATCCCGTCAGGTCTTGCTATCTTCCTGGCTGGTTTTCAGTAGCTTGATTGCATTCAAAACTTCCTCTTTTCTTGAGTGATTGGTGTCCGCTGGCATTTCTGTAGCTGCTGATGTTATTTCTGGAGAGGTTACAGGTGATTATCAGTCCAGGAGTCCTATAAAGTGATCAGGTCATTGTTTCCTATCCTTTCCCTCTAGAGAAGCTAGATTCCATCCAACTATTATCACTGGTTTCTATCTGTGTTAATCTTTTCACAAAAAGCTATCTGGCTTTTATGGTTTAACCCATTATTTTATATGCAGCCTGTTCTGCTCCAGTTTCCAGTGTGTCGTAGAATCCTCTTTTAACTTTTCTCACACTCCTCACCTCCTTATTCAGTGCGTTGTGCACTGATCTCACTTATCCTCCTGTTGTCCATCTCTGCAATAATTCACTCTCTGTTTCATCTTCCTCCTCTCGTCTGCTAGAGTCCGAATGCCTCTTCTTACCTTTCTTTAAAGATCACGTTCAGCGGTTTCACGATACTTCTCGCTGATGTTACTTGTTGTCTCCAACTTCGTTCTGAAATGTGCAATGGAGGTATCATTTGGGTTTCATCCCTTAGTTTCTGAGCACTAAACCTGAATTATAGTTTGTTTCCAGTCACTTTGAAGACTTGCAGCTTGATATCGAGGGTTCTCTGGACTAGGCAGTAGTCTGAGGCTACACCTAGTCCCCTCCTCGTCTTTTTGTCGATCAGGCTGACTGTCAACTTTCGTGAGATTGAGACGAAGTTTTTCAGCGGCGGAAGGCTAGAGACTTGGTAATGGGATATTTATTTTGAATATGGAATCCCTGCATAGCGAAGTTATGTACGCCTTACCTTAGAATCACCATTTGCAAAGATCTTCCGTATTGTCCTACTTCTGGGTTTATTTGTCTTCTTTTTGTGTTCTCCATGTTCCGCCGCAATACTCGTTCATTTGCTCCCTTTGACATCAAACGTATCTCTTCACCATTTGATATTTTCACGCCAATGGAAGTCTCTTTATGTACTACCGATAAACTTTATCAGTACTACACGCCACAATTGTCCCTCTTCTTGGTTCTGCCAGTTCCTTTTAAATATTGGTCCCGGCTTTCTTATCCCACTGAATAATTTTCTGCAGTTGGCTGATGTTAACTGGCTTCCGCTTATTTTCTCTTTTGACTTTACAAACCAGACCAAGTCCATAGTTGACACTATACGGCTCTTCCTACTTTGCGAGGAGTTTCTTTGAAGGTGGCCCGCATTTAGACGGGTACAATCTTTCTGTAGACTTCACTTAACCGCCAACGTCAAATGTTATGCATTCCATCTTTTCTTCTTGTTCAGATTTCATGGCGTCTGTCTTCTGTTTATGCCTTACATTCCTGATAGCTTTACTTTCACAGCCTCGTCATATTCCACTTCTGATGAAGGCGTCAAATAGTGCTGTGTGTGGGTAATCCCTGTTTCCTCCCATAAATCAAGTAAAATGGTGACTTCGTTGTTGTTTCCCGTGTAGAGACACCATGTCCTGGTAGGATCAATGGAAGCTCTGTCTCCCAGTCACCTTCCTTCGAGACAAACCACTGCTTCAGTGTAGTGTTATTACTATCTGTCAAACCATTCTTTTGGGGCTGACTCCCAGCTGTTGCAAACAGGAAGTGATCAGGGATCGCGACGGCGTCGACCCAGCGTGTCACATGGCCCATCATCACCAGGAGGTACTGATTGCCACTGGATATCTGCGGAAGTGGACCCATAACATCTACGGACCACAAATCACCCACCGCGATAACTGGAATAGACTGCAGAGACGGTCGTATAAACCAATCTGCATTCATCAGCTAGCATTTCGGACATATTTTGCCACATCTCTCACTCCTGGGTATTGCTGGGTGGGCGTACGATGTGCTAATTGAATCAGTGTAAGCTCTGTCTCCCAACATCAGCTTCACCGTTTCTAATTACTACGCCTATGCCGTAATCATTTGCACCTTTGCATATTGTTAACAAGTATCCGGAGTTTGGGCGTCAATTCTCGTGGCCTGAATGTCGTTCAATGTTGTCGAACATTTTCTGTGAATCTTCCCACCAAACAAAATTCGACTCACCTAATAGGAGGGCTGCTTTCTCGTTGAAGTTTTTCACGAACTGACTATTAAACGCTTCTGTTCCTAGGAGACGCCTTTGCTTCCTCAAGGAGTTATTTTATCTCAACGTTGCCTAATTTATGGCTCTACAGCGTAACACTCCGTTTGGCTGAGATTTTGTTTTGCTGATGTGCAGTACAAACAGTTCAATGAGTTTAAAAACGGCTTTGACAGGGTTCATTTGGTTGCTTTCGTTTCTACTGTAGATGAAGAGGTCAACGCCGTACACCTCCAAATTCTTCAAGTCTCTTAGTAACAGTATCATCACTCGTCTGAGAGCAGATGGTTCACCTGCTAGTCTAAATGGCATGCATTTAAAACAATATATTGTTTCTCTCCCACCAATAGCCCCGTCTTATCACTATCACTTTGTTTTACTGGTATCTGCCAATATCCTGACCGGAGGTCGAGCGCGGTAAACAAATTCGTGATTTGTTGACGACCCAAGGCCTCTACTACAGTTGGCGTGACAGACGCATTTAGCTCTGTCATGCTGTGAAGATGTCGGGAAGCGGCACAGAGTCTGTACTTCCCACTTGATTTCTTCACTAAAAGAACTGGAGACTTACATGGGCTGTCAGCTCCTCCAGTGATATCATATTGTAACATCTCCTTCACTTGTAGTTCAACTTCGCCTTCTAAATGACATGGGGCTCTTCGTATTCTGAATGGTGCCATTTCGCGACCTCTCAGTGGGACTTTATACCTCACCTTATCATAACAACCCTAAGTATTCCCATCTCCACTGAATAAATGATCGCAACAGGTATCATCTGAAATCCTTCAATACCAGTGCTTATCCCCGTTTTCTCACTCTTGTGACTACTAACTTTGTTTATTCACTTACTCTGCAATCATTATATTTCATCATCTATTGGTTTATTCGTTTTTTAATTTAAGTCTACATAATCTCCACCAATTATGTTATCAACACATTTGCTTTCAACTACATTGGACGACCAATGAGTGAGAGAATTAACTCCAAACACAGAAGCAGCACGGTCTTACCACAAAGCATACTGTAAATCATATATGACCAATCTCCACACCACTCCTCTCGGAGTCAACCAAAGCTATGGAGATTGAGTGGTGAGACAAACTACAAGGAAGTGCACCGGAACTTTATCCTAAAACCAAGAAATGAGCCCTAAGAACTCAATTTAGTTCACACTAACTCGTAAAGAGGATATTGGATATATTGACACAGAGTGCTCAAAGCTGTGGAATAGCTAAGGCGGTAAATTCAATAAAACATGCGTCTCCGTTACTATTTGGATTCTAATGGAGAAAGAGCCTACACAATGGGAGTGTAGCTCTCATAGTGTCGGAAGTTCATACATACTTTTCGTTCGTCAGGGAATCAGATGACATTTTGATTCATTCCGTCTACTATTACACTTATCACATCATTCACAAGCGTCTGTGAATATAGTCAGATTGTTATCTCTCTATCCAGACTATCGTATGTTGGCAAGTGAAGGAGCATTTAAAAGGTGGTGCTCTGTTAGCCCAACTTTAGAGAGAATATATTCATGTCACTGTCGATGCAGGCATAAAATTTGGTTTTAGTTTCATTCTTGATTGTCTGCTGGATTTCAGAAACAACACCTTAGAAAGAAATATACAAATGATACCCTTCAGTAAAAGTGCTGCTTTCTATTGATCTATCTCACTACCTTTTAATTTCAGTTCTCGGAGCCATTAACGAGATCCTTTAAAATGAGGGAGGATTAGTGGAAACATCCATTTTCGCCAGGATCCGCTATGAACTATGTGAAGGAAATAATTATACGTCGATCTCCACACTGAAAACTTAGTCAGCCTAAAGAAAACTACGCACTAGATACAGACGATCACACCTGCGTAGAGGCATGTTCAATAACTGACACCAAACCAGTTTCAGAAGAAATACATTCATTGCAATACCAAACTATGAGTTTCACATTTTGGTGACAGTTGATGATATTACTCACCTACCGTGATTGAAGTACATAGAGTGGAACTCAAACTAAGCATCCATTCACTATAAGTCAAGAGCTGAAGTCAATGAGCCACACCTTAGTCTACTTACGTTCTAAATAACTATGCTACGATAGAGCAACAATAAAGCATCGAAGGTTAATCATATCAAAAGTATTTTTTATGAAGTACTACAATGAATCCATCATTAGATATAAAATATACAAGTATCTGAATAGAATAAAAATGCAAGATTGTTTTGATTTCCCTGAAAACGAAACGACAAACTTAGAATGCACACATAGCAAGTGTGAAAATGAAATGTATCACGGCTTATTTAAAAAAAAATAGTACATAAATGCAAGATTACACAGCAAACATTAGGAATAGAGAATCTAATTGAGATCAATAACAAGATTCGACTCATCCACATAACATGGTGATTCTACTTCTTGTAGAACAGTTGATAAAACATCATCATTATGATTATCTGAAAACTGTTCCAATACAGAATGATTTAAATCATCATTGGTAGCATTTATAACTGTATGACTAGACATGGTATCAACAAGTGTGGTGTTATGTTCATTTGAATTCTGGGTTAATGTATTCGATGAATTGATATCGTCTGACTTTTCATTCATACTACATTCAGAGGATAGTTTATTGGGAAGTTCACTGATAGATGATGGTGTAGCACTGATGGCTGCTTTCAATGCATTCTTCAATATATGATTGGTAGCTAAAATCAGAAAAGTAAATGGTCTGTTTTAAACAATATTCAATTATGAAGTCATAATAAATAAAATAAACACGATGAATATATATTGATATTCAAATGTTGGTTCGAAGGGATTTGATTGGTTATAGGTTTGACTATGAGTTGACATCAGTTAGAGAACCATTGGAAAACCACTCAGGGAGTACTGGACAGATGTTTTATCCTTGATGTTTTTCGGGACTCTTCACCTGCCCACACCCACTGGGGTTCGGACCCAGTGTCTTCCGGTTACGAGGTGACTCGCAGACCATTCAACCCACTGAGCCCTAGGATCAGGTCCCTGTGACTAAGTGGTCTACGAACTCGCCTAGTAACCGAAAGATTCTCGGTTCGAACCACAGTGGGTACATGCTGCTGAAGACTCACCAATAATATTCGGTAATTATAACATCTAGTTTCTGGTTGTATGAACAGTTTCAAATACAAAATATAATATACTTAATATCCTATCCAAAAACACAGTTTCTATAAAGAAGAAGGATTCAGCTTTTAAAACAGTTAGTCCCTTTTATAAATTTTGATGGCATTATTAGAAGACGGAGATTATCTGAAAAATGTGATGTATTAGCGCTATACATTTCGAACAATCTGATCACACATTTACTTGTCAAGTCAATATATATGGAAAAGGTTAAATTAAACAAGGTGACAAAAAAAGAATTAAGAATAATTAACACAAACGTTTGGTAATCCAATCAAATAAGGATTACTCTTAACCTACCTTGGTAATCCTTATTTGATTGGATTACCAAACGTTTGTGTTAATTATTCTTAATTCTTTTTTTGTCACCTTGTTTAATTTAACTTTTCCATATATATTGACTTGACAAGTAAATGTGTGATCAGATTGTTCGAAATGTATAGCGCTAATACATCACATTTTTCAGATTCAGCTTTTACCAATTACTTAAGCAAAGTGTAAGTGAATTTCGATCGAAACAATAGAATATATCTGGGTGTTGATAGAATTTTGTGGTGGTTATTACTTCCTGGCTACCCACACTGTGAAAGTTGATTTCTTCTTGAAATACTTGAAACAAAAAGAGCATAGTGTTGGTGTGACCGCATAGCTCAGGTGACAACTGTTTGAAGTGCTTTTTGCAGTTGTTTCCGTATTAAGATCTTTTCACGGGCTAAGCGGATCACCGCAAGGTAAGTCAGGATATACATTTTTCGGAGTCGACCTTTTTTAACACCCTCAACCCAGAACGGAGAGACACTACAGTTGGTCTTTAAAAAGAAACATCTTACAGTTATTACATCCCTATTATACAGTAGGACGATTTCGTCCTCAGAGCCTCAATATAGCGTGAGAGGCTTACAAAATAATTGGCATCTGTTCGTGATCTAGCTGCTATCCAACAAACCTTCAGGAACACTTGTTTCACTTAGTGTAGCTCATAGTATCACCCAGATATACAAACCTGACCACCACATCAAGGTAGTGACCATGTAAACGTATTATAACAGTCATATCTAATAGTTAGGTGCTAACAGTTAAAGAACATGATGGTGAAAAATTAATCTGAAAGTTCGTTTTCACAACCATTTGAACGTTAAATTATTATTAGGCTCAGAAGAAGAGTTTCAGAATAATTTTGTATTTCTTATTGATTGACTATGTTGCATTGAAATGCTCAGTCTCTGTTGACATTTCAACTCAACGATGTCTAAGGACCAAAGTGAAGTTATTTCAGTTGGTGGTAACTAGCAGTACGACGTCACTGGTTCAGCGGTAGAACGCTCGCCAACCACGCACGTGGTCTGGGACTCGATCCCCAGCCAAAACACTCCTCCTACACTTCGTTAAGCTGGTAGTAAGGCCAGTAAGGAAGGAAGGTTGGGCGTGAGGCTAGCAACCCCACTTCGTAAAAATTAAACCAGTGCTACCGAAACTTCGAAGCTCTATCTTGAAGCCCCACATTCCACTAGGAACGTAAAGTAATAAAATTCAAAAAGCAGTACAGTCTAGGATGCACATTTCATCCTATTTGGGATTCGTCACCCGAATGTACCTGCATTCCCAGTGAGCGACAGTGTTCTCATTGGGACTCAAACCCAACACCCATCATTTCAAACGCTAAAGCATTATGCACTAGGCCAGGAGAGCCACTTCTTGGCCGACGGTTATCAGGTATTATTTGTTTAGCGTTTGGGACGATGGATGCAGGGCTTGAGTCTCAAGTGGTAACATCACCACTCATCGGGAATGCAGGTGCATCCAAATGAAGAGTCCTAAATAGGACTAAGTGTGTATCCTAGACTCCATTGCCAGTCACCACCAACCAAAGACTAGATGAAGAGTGTTTCAAGTGTTCATAGAGAAAATGATTGATTTTAACTTGATGAAGGTGATAAAGAAAACCATACCACAGAAAGGGACCGAATATTGTTTCACCGCCTTTGCTGCGATATTAAAATTTTTTTAAAAGATAAGCAGTCTTGGTTGCCCTATAGGAAAGATGTTTATATTTCCTCCTGTTTCAGCTGAAAGGTAATAAATAAAGCTGTTACAATGAGAAGACTACATGAGAATAATGATTACATCTTACTGAATTTATTCCCATAATGGACCTTAGTAATCATCATATATCTGCTTATTAGACAACAGATTCGCTCAGTATTAACAAGTAGTTAGATAACTTAAATATATTATAGTGATAATTGTGAACACGTGGCTTCTTTTGGCCTAGTCATCCGATGGCTAAGCCATGGTTCTATTTTTCAATTTTATTCCAACTAATTCAACCTAGGGAACCCCTAAGAGTACTTCACACCATTACAAATAACAGATAACCCATACCCATAGTGCATAACACTCTACCGATAAGCTCAGTTTTTCTATCAGTTAGGATTAATGATTATTATTATTGTTCCCTTGGGTTCCTAGTGGAACATAGGGCTTCAACTGCACGTCTCCACTTGCTTCTGTCTTCTGCTGTACTTTTCACTTGCATCCATGTTAATCCATACTGTTTCAACTCCTCTTCACACGATCTCCTCCATGTCACCCTTGGACGTCCCACTCGCCGCTTCCCTTTCGGGTTCCACTCGAGCACTGGACTGACGCGCGATGTCACCCAGTGGCCTCCTCAGCGAGTGTCCAATCCATCTCCACTTTCTCCTGCATATTTGTTGAGCGATTGGTTCTTGTTTTGTTTGTTCCCATAGTTTCTTGTTGGTGATTCTTCCTGGCCATCTGATCTTCAGTATAGAGCGAAGACAGTTGTTGATAAAAGTCTGCAACAGGCTGTTGGAAATATTCTTTGTGACCCACCAAGTTTCTGATCCGTATAGAAGAACTGACTTGACATTTGTATTGAAAATCCGAATTTTGTTGTTGATGCAGAGTGACGAAGATTTCCAGATTGGTTTCAGGTTGATGAATGTGTTTCTCGCCTTCCCGATTCTCGATTTGACATCCTCGTCCGTTCCTCCTGTAGTTGAGACGATGCTCCCTAGATAAGTGAATGAAGTAACCTCTTTCAAATCCCTCCCGTTGATGGTGATTGGCGTTGGATGTTGCTGCTGTTGTTGTTGATGGTTGGTCATTTTCATAACCTCCGTCTTGTCTATGTTCACCTGGAGTTCTGTCTTTGCTGCAAGCCTCTTTGACCAGTTTGTCGGTTTTCGCTTGTAAGTCTTCGATTTTGTTTGTTACATCAGACATAAGTCATCCACGCGCGAAATCCAGGTCTTCTAGGTTCTTCACATCGATCCAGGATATCCCTGTCTTCTCGTTTCCCACTGTCTGACGCATAATCCAGTCCACCACAATTAGGATTAATGAAGCCATAAATAATTCAGTGGTCACATTTCCATGATATCCTATGAAGTATTTGAATATACAGAGCCCTATTCTTTGTAATGTCTTCTTAAGGAAATTAAAAGATTCGCATGATAATTGACTTCAATCTGGTTTATCTAATAATACACCAATACTGTCAACTTAATCTGTTTGAACGAGGGAGGAATAAAGAATAAATAATAAAATTCTGTGGAAAATATAAAAGAAAACACAAGTATACAATAATTCACCGGCAAGCCAGTGTACTCAAGAGAATGAAATAAATCTCCAACCAAAACGAAAACAACCTGAATACCTATCTAAACCTGAAAAAACTTTCACCAAATATGTATATATCAAACATACGTGTTTTTAATTTATTGCCAATAAGTGTTCCACAAGAAGATTTTCGAGCTGCTAGCCGTTCCAAAGCTAAACGTCTATTTCTTTCTGCACGTGATTCAGAACTATACGAAGTAGATGCTTGTGGTAGGTGTACATTGGAGTCGTCAATTGAATCTTGAGTATCCTGATAGTCTGTGGAGTTTAGATCTTTATACACGTCATTTGTTTCAGGAGAAATATTTTTAGCGGTGGGTGTATTCTATAAAGTAGTAATAAGAAAATCAAATTGTTTGGGGGGGGGGAAATACAATTGAAAAGAAAAGAAAAGCAATACTAGAGATAAATACCACAAACTTTATCGTAAATTATCCTATGAAATGAAGTGATAATGAATATTTATAACGCTTGAGAACGGTAAAGTCTACAAGTATGACACAGATCAGTCTATCAGTCAATAAGAAAATATGTGAAACAACTATAGGGTAAAAGATCAGATATCAGCAAGGCAGCCAGTTGAAATACCCGCGTAAAGAGTGATAGAATAGCTAATGAAACAAAAGATTACATTCTAATTCATCGCAAAAGGCTGCTTAGGCATATACGAGAAATGTGACAGCTTGCTTACACGGGAACGGAAATCTCACACAATTAAATTATCTACTTCAGTAAATGAAACGATAGCCTGTTTAAAATCACAGAATCTTCATCATTAGTACTGCATATAATTTCTCTTGTTCAGTTTGTTTTAATCGATTAAAATATGATCTCTAGCGGTGACTTCTACTTTCACGAGTATTGACGATATCTACAACCTGCTGATTCGTAGTTTTCTAACAAAATTATGGATGGAAACGTATCCCTGACAATTTTAGTACAAACTGCCACTGCCATGAGAAATACATACAATTATTATATTATTATGTCCTTCGGTCTCAAAATGTACTCCTTCACCTTTTTTAAATAACTTTCAACCAGACGTCAAGCATATCTCGGAGACAAAAAATATCATAGGGAATTTGTTCCCCCTTCAGATGAAACTGCATTATCACATAATCTACTGTCAATTACTATTCTACTTGAAAATCCTGGAGAAAGAGAAGCTATAATGTAATAAAATGCAACTCCGAAAATCCTATACACTACATAAACACACTGTTCAGAATAAAGCTGTTATTACTATTATTGCTACATCCTAAAAGAAAATAATTAGACAAAATATAACTATTGAACATTTAGCTAGTCTCAATAAAGACTGAGGCTAAAACTCTACATAGGAAAACCAAACAATAAGATATGAAAACATTTCAGACGCAGTGATATGACTGTGCAAAAACGTCGGTTGACTTAAAAAAAGAAATGTTCGCCAGTTTTACAGTAACTATGTTAGATACTTTAAGTGTGAATGTAAACCCCAACTGGCTAAAAACATGATAGTATTTGAAGCAATCACTCAAATGTTTATACATCGTCACGAAATTACGTCACTTACAGATCCACTAATAACTAACAGAGGACTGGAAATCTGTTACTTCCTAACTTAAGGTTTATCAGCAATATGCCCACAATTTGTGACGTACTGAAATCGCTGCTACTGTCAAGTTTCAAGACAATCACACTAACAATTAGAACCGTAATTTTCAATTCTGTGTTCATTAAGAACTAGTTTTTACGTGGACTAACTGAAGTTCTAATCGGATGTTATAATGCATAGATTTTTATCACGATGGATACTCATGATACATATTGGTGAAATTCGCTATGAGGTTAATAAAACTCCTACGAATCCAATATCTAGTGTGATCGAATATTGAAATGCTGATAAGCCTAAAATAACACACACACACACAAGTGATTTGTACTACTCAAACCTTTTCTGTCTAAAATAAACTGAGTAGAATAAAAAAGAAATTGGACTCCAGAAAACGCTACGTTTATCCAACAATTAAATAAGTCGATCTCCAATGGTTTCTTGAAATATTTCGATGGGACTTTGGGTTCATAATCTCATTTATTGACTTCACACAACTAGGAGTGTCAATAAGAAAATAGCGAATGTGAATGTCCGGAAAGAATCAAGTGACTGACAGATACTCAACATTAATCTAGAAGAGTTAATTTTCAGGATTGAAAAAGAAACCAATAGGATATGAACCTTCTGACTATCTTGTCAAACGTTCAGACGGTGGTGACTTAATACAATTACATGCTTCGATGTGGTTGTTTGACCAGTAATTCTAGGCGTAACGCGAAGTATGAAAGAACAATTTCATGAAGCTATTCTCATTGATCCATATCGGTTAGAAAACTTCTAGTTGACAAAATTCAACGTGTGTCATTGATTTTGCACAATAATCCAATTCAAGGTGGCTGAATTAAAGCCTTGACGTTTCTTCAACGAATGTTAACTCGTGAAGAACATTCTTCCAGATGGAAATTAAAAGTGAGTAAAAGGAGCTCTGAAGAAACCATTGTTGTGAAATTGTGTAGTACTATGTCTTATCAGATCATACGAAGATAGCTGCTTATTAGATTTTCACTAGCTTAAACCACGAACTAAAATTAAACTGTCCCTTAATTTTTGTTTAGGCCAGTAATAATATTCCCTTGTCAGTTTATTATCTTTATCCACAGAGTTTGAATATATTCATGACTTTGTGCATCGTTACATCACAAAACAATTTTGATCGTAAACTAATAACAACCAAAGAACACCGAAGGTTAAAAAAAACTAGTAGAGAATCACACTCTTATAATTCAAAGACTGCTATGTCTCCCAAGTTTCGCTTATAATTTTAAAGTACTTTTCATGTAAATTTAAACTTAACATTTTCGCGCCATGAACTGATATCACTTTTCTTCCCCACCAATCCTGAATACTTCACACTCATTCGTTATTAGTTCTTTATATTTATTAGTGGAATAATTATTGAATTAAATCGACTGTGATAACTACTGCTCAGACAGTAAAAAAACACTATATCAGTGACTCGCCTTCTTTACTTATTACGCATGAGCAGTGGTTTCCATTGTTACTTGCTTTTATCGTTGATTGCTTTCTCAGGTAGTCTTATCATCAATCATTTTTTCCCATTCCTTTGAGTTCCGAGTGGAACATAGGACTTCAAGCTTCAGCTTTGGTGTTCTTTTAATAAGGTGGGGTTGCTAGTCTTACATCCAACCTTCCCTCTGTACCGGGTCTACTGTGGTGAGTGCTACTTATAATCAGATATGAGTAGTATATCAGCAGACGAGTTCAGAAAAGCAACAATATGTTTCCGACACTGGAAAGAGCAATCGAAGAACAGATAGGTGAACAGAATGTTAGAAACACTGTGCAGAACTCAACAAGCTATCGAATGTGGTGATATTTGATCAATTTCTTGAAAATGTGCAAATAAAGCATTGGATTATACCAAATTTATGTACCTACAATCGGTTTTTACGAATAAACATCACTTCGAGCTTCATCGGTCTTTTCTTCCTAACACTACTATCAAGTTAAGCGAGGTTTAGGAGTGAGTTGGCCGGCGATCGAACACAGACCACGCGCGTGTGTGTGTGTGGTTCTACCAGTGAAACTAAACTTCAAATAACAGTCTGAAGTAATTCTGACTAATAATTAATTTCATCTAACATCTTAAACAGTGATAAACACAGTTCATGAGATATAAGAAGATAATATCACTAATTGAATAAGTCTAAATTTTTGTTCAATTATGTACACAATTTACACCTCTTTGGAAATAATTAGCCTGTAAATCCACAAATAACTAGAGCTTCTTAACATTCAGTAAAATCCCAGATGATCAAGTAAATTTTACTGCTTAAAAAAATAATCAACTATAATTAATTATTCAATAAACGACAACAACAAAAAATGACAGTCCAAATTGCCTACCTGAGGAACAGATTCTAGAGCACTTCTCCACAAAGCATCTGGATCTGGATTTTCATGTTCTGGTTCACTCTCATCTTCAGATGGTTCTACTTGTTCATTACTTGCATACGGTGGCCAGATACCATTTCGAAGTCGATCTAAAGCAACATGTATTTCACGTTTACTGCCAACATGTTCTAAACGTTCAACTACTTCAGGAAAAGTTAATCTTGGCACTACACGATTAGCCCATGCTTCATACACATACAACAACTTTTCTAAATCTTGAAACTAGAGAGATAGAAAAATATATATACAATGAGTAGCGAGTGAAAATTACCAGTATACAAATAAAGGAGAAAAGAAAACACCTGAAAGTGATTGTAACAGGTAAGATTAAGGCGTAATGGATACTTTTACCGTTTTTTCCCTTTGGGGGCTACCTTTAAAATTATCTTTAGCATTAATGAGTAGGATAATTCTTGTATCAATATACCCAACATATCAATAAGGTGTGATACAATAATAATAATAGTAATTTTGCTTTATTCCAGAAACAGTACTAGTGGTACAGTGTGGAATTTTCAGCACATATCTACAATATTGCATCTAATTTTATCAAACATTTAAGAGGAGTATTCCAAAAAATAAATATAAAAACAACAAAAACTCAAAAATAATAAAACAAATGCGAAAAAATACCAAGAAGTAGAAAGGAAAATAAACAACATAATAAATAATATCTCAGTATTGGGTAGTGGAAGCTATGATATGTTTATGCGTGGTGACAGTAAAGCTATAGTCATACAAGAAGTTATGAAATGATATTTAAGAATGTTTATCGTCAAGATGATCAGTTAATTTGGTTGAAACAACACTAAACAATCATAAAATAACTTTTCAGGGTTGTTGTTTTGTTTTTTATTGTCAGGTCTAATGTGGTGTTTGTAGTGGTAGTGTGAGTAATCCTGGATAATGCAAAATTTTAAGATGGTGATAATGGCGTTCACAACCAAGATTGTCAGTTAATATTGCCGAACAAAAGAAAACAACAACCACAAAACTAATAATTACATGATGGTTAATGACAGGACAATTTTGTAATACTCATAGTGCTAATATAGTCGGAACCAGTAGATACACAAAAGAAGGAATAGAATAAAGTACAAAAAAGGAAGCCAATGTTAATAATTTAGGTAGCTAAGTTTGTTTAAGAAGGTGTTCACTATAGAATACAAATAAGAGAGAAATAAAAGAGCCAAAATTATGTTATTAACAACAAAGCAAGTCATAGGTTTCACGCCTAACATTGTCTCTGCCTCTTAGAACACACTGGTTACATGAAAGCATCGGTTAGTTATTCCACAATGATAGCTTTCCTTATCACGTCAGTCACCAATGCAAATTCTTTTGCAGAAATCAACATTAGGTCAGTGGGGATTTTACGATAAAAGATAATCTTGAAAAAAAATGACTAATCCTAAGTGGGTGCTAGTAAACTGTCTTACAGGGAAATCTAAGTATTCCTCGTTATTCTTTTGTGTTCCGAGTAGAACATACGGCTTTAAATATAAGCTTTCGAAGTTTCAGTAGCAGTGGTGCTGCTTGCCTCTACGAAGTGAGGTTGCTAACCTCCCATCTAACATTTTCTCTTTACCGGTCTTATTAGCAACTATGTGAGGTTCACGAGTACGTCGACCGGGAATCGAACCCCGAACCACATACGTGGTTGGTGAGCATTCCACTGCTATGCCAACGACGCCCAGCTATTTATCTACAGTACTACAATTTTTCCTAATACATATCAATTTGCCCACAATATAAAGGTGCATGCAACAGTGAACAGAAGTATCAACATTTCAAAAGTTTTATCTGCAGTCAGTACTAAGAAAATGAGTGAAAACAGATAACAGTATTCGAAATGTTGCTACACTGCTCAGAAAAACACACAATTATAAACGAACCAAACTTTAAACAATATTACCCCCACTGCATATGAATATCTAAGCAACACGGCGGATTAGGTGAACCAATGAAAAGAGGCCTAATAAATTAAAAATTATGACAAAGGAGTGTTAGGAAAAATTATATAATAAGTAAAGAACTATGTACATACCTCATGACCTTTACCACCAAATTTAACCTTCTTGAAATCATCAAGTAAAGCAGGTAAGCCTTTGTTACTCAGCAAGCTAAACAAAATAAAAATCACTAAATAAGCATAAAACTAGAATGAAATGAAGTTAAACTGAGAAATCATATAAGGATGTGAGCCGTATGCAAAAAACAACTACACTTCGAGGATGGGTGTGTTACTGACACCACATCTCTTAGCTGACATCGCTTATCTACCAGGTACCAAATAAATTACCAAAATCATCGAAGCACCGCATGCTCCAAACAGCAGAGGCTATTGCAGTCCGCCTCAAACAACCAGTACTCTGTGTTCAAAAGAAGCAAGCCCAGCCCCTACTACTAACCTGGCCAGCCTTCAGTAGAGACTATAAATTCATGAAGTTGTAATATTATCTTTCCTAATTTCTCTGACATTCAGCTTATTTTATGTTGATGCTGATCAACTGTAATCTACTGATATTATTATTGATTCGATGTTATTTAAACAACATTAATGTTGTTCATAACACTAATTCATTCATTCACTATAATGTACATATAACTGTAGAACCTGGTGATGAAGTTATCGAAAAGAGTACTCTTTGTTCAGTATCCATTCTTTTGAAAATTTTAATGGGCATTTTTAATCAGTTAAAACCTTTCAAAGATAAAACATATCAATCTACAGATTGAATGTAATCGCTTCAATTACCAAGTAAGCTTACATCCCCATCACGATTATTAAATATGTTCAGTTAGACATCATCTCAGTGAAAATTATGAATGCGTTTTCATGTGAACTGAGTGAGACGATACTAATACAACAACTAATTAACTGTTCAACTTAACATTCTATGCATAAATACCACCGAAATGGATGCCAACACCATAGAAAAGTGAAGAAATACTACCATATAATACCAATAAAAACAAATAATATATATTAAGAGTTAATTTAACTTGGAGATGTCAATGAGGATATCTACACTTTGCTGTATGTCGTGACCAATACACAGTTAATTTTCAATGATTCAATCTTCATATTAGTATAAAGAAAGATAAGATATATTGAATGATACAGCTCCGTCCCTCACACGTGAGACAATGACTGATCACAATTTCATGTATTGACTAGCATTCTTTATCTGGTAATGCTTACTGTAGTCCAATCAAAATACAAAAGCCCAAAACTCCCTCAAATTTTCCCTCCGAACAATCAAGTTCTATAGTTATAAAAAGCAGGACTGAAATCATTGTTATACATTACACTTAAGACAATTCAGAGACGATATGATGCTTTACCTATAACCAAGAGTGGACTGGGCAGATATAAATCTAAAATAGACATTTCAATATCCCTGTAGAAATTCAATTAATACTGTGTGAATGAAGTAAAAGAACAATATTATAATCGCTCAAAAAGTCATAGATTCTAATAGTCATGTGTTCTCTGAGCTGGTTGGTTTAGTTGCGAAGCTTTCGTCGTCCTTCTGGACAACATCTTCAGCACCAACGAAAGCTTCGCAACTAAACCAATCAGCTCAGAGAACACTATTAATTGCAAATCATCCACCTGAGCTACAAATCTTCTCTATTATTTCAATAGTTGTGTGTGTCAAATTATAAGTTACTTAACAGCTATCATCAAAGCCATACAACAAGTAATATAATAAGTAGTTGCTTGTAAGTAAAACAGGAGAACAAACAACAACAACAGTATTTACCATTGTGGATCTAATTTTGGACGTGGATTCTTGACAACTCGTTTAGCTGCACCTTTAGACATTTTACGTAGTCTCTCCAAAACACCAATATCCACAGCATCTTGAAATGTATATAGAAAAAAATGAAAACGCAATTAAGAATGAAGATTACGAGTTCAGATATTAAAAAGATCGATTCGACGCAAGAGTTCCTTGTTGCTTATTCTTTCTGGTCATGTGATCTCCAGTATAGAAACGGCAAAGGCAGTTGTTGATGAATGTTTTCAATAGCCTGTCAGAAATGATTCTGGTAACTCATCAAGTCTCTGAAACACATAGAAGTATAAACTTGACATCAGAGTTGAAAATCAAGATCTTGTTCCTTCTGCTGATAGCAGCACATTTCCACAGTGACTTCAGAGCCATGAAGGTTTGTCTTGCTTTCCGAATAGTACCTTTGAAATCCTCATCCCTTATGTCTGTAGTTTCAAGCTCTCAACTCTTTGTCTAGCTAACTCATAACCCTCAGCTACGATGGACTTTTTCATCTTTCAGGGTAAAGGGACTACGAAGCGGCCCTTGTCAAAATATGTTCCTCCCTGAACTACTTTGATCACCTGCAAATCATCCACTGATAAGGCTTTATCGCAGGAATGCACGTCAGTGAATTCATAGTTATATACGTCTTTCAACGGGCCTGGAGTGTTGCACATTCGTGAGGTGAAATTCACAACTCTTCGATCGTATCTGTTGTAGTCCAACGGTCCGAAGAGGACTCAACCAAGTAGATTTCTGATGGCATATGGACTTTTCCTCCCCCAAGCTTTTGGTCTAAAGCCCAATGGAACTTCAGGCACGTCACACCTGATGAACAAGAAGACTTCACTCCCATCTATTTCCCTCAAAGGCACATTTGCAAACTGTGGCCATTTTTCTTTACTTTATCTGGTAGATTTTCTTGGCCCTCGCAGTGGATGTTTCATAATGGCTTGGTCAACGGTTAGAAATTCATCACCATGGAGTTAAAAGATTTTACTGACTGAACTTGCCACTTTGCTCTTTTTTTACATCCCTTTGGCCAAATAAACAGTTTTGCTGCTAAATACCACTGCGTTCTGCCGTTACACCAGCATACTATAAACGGAGTCTTGTGCTACCAGATAACAATATGGAGAAAAGAAATTAACTTTCATATCTGCAACAACAAATGAAAATAGCTAATAATGAAACAATCACAGTTTAAAGAGATTCACTGTACTTACCATCATCTGCACCGGGTAGTGGTTCTTGAACATTGTCACCATCATCATCTGTAGGCCTTGCACGATTATCACTCGGTGAGTGAGCCCGGTGTACAGCGTTGCGTTGCAAACCATCATGCCGACTATACTTGTTTCTTGAATATAAACTGTTAGGTCTGTTATCATCAGAATCTGTTTCATCTTCTGTGACGCTACGAGACTCTTCCTCTGATTCATAAACGTTGTGTCCTTCATCTTCTGACGAAACAGAAGACTCCTCTTCAACTTGTGGAATCCTGCTTGACGCAACAACTGGAATGGAGGAAGGTAGATTAGAAAGGGAAGTAGTTGACATCTCACGAGCGTTGTATTCATTTTCTTTATCGCTTTTATCGTTGTCGTTGTTATCATCAATATCATCGTCATCCAAAAGACGCAATCGTTGTCTACGCTTGCCTAATTTTGATACATTACCGGCATCAGAATCATTGAACTCCGAAATACGAGTACTACTCAACACACGAGAAGCGGATATTTTGTAAGAAACGTCTGTAGAACCCTGTTGCCGGTTGAAAATAAGGAAACAAAACATATATTATACTAAAGTGCAAAGAGGAAATATGAAAAGAGAAGAGTCATAGTGTAGAACAGTGTGTAAAATATCAGCATCACTATTTACAGCTGTTATCACAATGATAGTGAAGGGCTTTTATACTACACAACAATATGTTGTCAGGTGAAATGACTTGTATGAAATGCTTGACTAACAGAGTTTAGTGAAACAGATAAACTTTGTGCATTTAACAGAGACAATAGGATAAATAACTTTTTTTAATTATTAGTTCTGGGGTTAATTTGCACTTCCCGTTGATTGATCAGGTTACACAGAAATGCTCCGTCTCCGAAGACATGTCAGTTCCTAGTACGAACGCTCTAATGGATAATGATCTGACATTTGAAACGATGGGTGCAAGGATGGAGTCTCAGTGGACACAGCATCGCTCCCTGGAAATGCAGGTACAACCCGGCTGACGAGTCCCAAATAGGATGAAATATGCATCCTCGATTCCACTCCTAATCACTGTCAACCAAATTAACTTTCTCTATTCATCAACTGTATTGTTAAGCTAGATTGTTCACTACAGTTTTAAGAATAATTACACAGTGTATTTCCAACACTATACGAAAGATATTGGATAATTAACGAGAGATTATATCGCACACCGCCAAGAACTCAGTTTTGCATAAAACAGATCAGATAAATATTCATCACAAACAAGTAGTAGATTTATAGAAAAAAAGCATACGGAATGAGCAGTGTGTAAGATAGTAGGCTACATTGATTGAAACAAGATTTTCATCAAAGGTCGGTAAAGGTTGAAGAAACATGTTCAGTAAAGAAAAAATGATTAGCACATAGTCATTTACAATCGCAGAGAACTTAATCCAATACACTACCGTCCTAATAAATGTAAACCTAAGTGTGCTGGCTAAGGTCTACAGAATAGCATAGGTGAGCCCATTATTAGGTACTGACCGAATTAAGTGACTGACACGATAGGGAAAACAAAACACGTAGTTCAGCGAAGAGTCTCTTTTCGGCGAATTCATTTTCTTAGCTGACACGATAGTGACGATTGTGATCTGAACAGTTTAATGCTAAATTCAGTGATTTGAGTTAGATAAGTTCATGTGACACAATGGGGAACATGACATTTCTTCTTAGTGAGTATTAATAAGCACTCAACTTAGATATATATCGTGCCAGTTGCCTTCTCCTAACAAATTCCCGAGAATCCTTTGAGACTCATAACAATGAATCACAACATGAAACAGACAACAGATCATTTAGTTAGTTAAACGAGTCTTTCAAAGAAAGAAACAGAATCAATGAAAATAGAATACACAACACTATTCTCAGATTTGTTTTACTCAACATGGTATGATTTCCAATTTGTTAATAAAACATGCACCTATTAAACATATTAGTGAAAATTTTTAAAAAGCAAGAAAAAATATATTACAATTAACATAAAGAAAAAAGGATGCCACTTGTGGTGTTGTGAATACATGTCATCAAAGACTAATAAGAAATGGTTTGTAACAGCAGAAGGCAAGATACGGAAGCCAAGGTATATTTTCAAATGATCAAACAGCTACTTATATCTCTATACTGTTTTATATTTTCTAACCAATCACTGAGCGTGTGATTTTGGTTTACATTAAACGACACGATGAAATAGAATGTTCAAATACAGATATAGTATTCTGTTGCTAATGCAGTATTGAACTGTGGGAATAGTATTCAGACGTTAACACCATCAAATACAATGATTCTTACTGTGAAAATAATATTCCGTTGGAACCCATTGTCTATACCACACCACTACAAGTTTATTTCAACATCAGATACAAATAAGGAATCAACTGTTAGATCATTATGTTTCAATGTGAAAGCTATCTGAGGCTTATTACCCGTTTCCGTCTTCTTTGCATTGCAGAAGCCTTAGCCATTCACTTAGAAGAATCATAACTATGCATACAAAAAAAAATTATTCAGCCACTTCTACTATCATGGTAACAACTCTGTTGATTTGACTTAAATTTAGCTTGTTTTTTCTAACTACTTAGAACTCTTACGTAATTCCGTAACTTATGTTGTTTCCATGTACACCCTGAGCACAACTCTTCAGTCAAACTATTCATGTTATTACTTAACTCTTCTTTAACTATCGTTTGTGACAACTCATCACTTTTGTTATTTACTACCCTCTTATATCAACATCCAATTCCTCTGAACGCTTTTAGTATCACGCAACTCCACCAAAAAACTTACTAATTGTATTTTTATTCAAGTGTTGGTTTGTAGGGATTTGACTGGTTACAGGATTTTCATCATGAGCTGACATTAGTTAGAGGACCATTGGAAAACCTGGGAGTACTGAACAGCTGTTTCGTCCTAGTTTGGGACTCTTCATCAGTACGCACCCACCGGGATTCGAATCCAGGACCTTCTGGTTACAAGGCGAGCTCGTATACCATTAAGCCTGTAACCAATCAAATCCCTACAAACCAACACTTGAATATCAATGAGATGCTCACTAGTGACTTGCCCTATTCAGGTAGGTAGTTGCCTGGGGTTCTAGTGAGAAGTCGTGACCAGTAGGGTGCAGCAGGTTGGGTGTGAGGACAAATACTCGCCGAAGACATTGGCAAAGGGTCGCGCTATGTCGTGAATTGGCAGAAGTTAGAATTCATGGGCCATTGGATCGGGTCCCAGTGGCTTGATGGTATACGAGCTTGCCTTGTAACCAGAATGTCCTGGGTTCGAATCCCGGTGGATGTGTATTGCTGAAGGGTCCCAAACTAGGACGAAACAGCTGTCCAGTACTCTCAGGTTTTCCAATGGTTCTCTAACTAATGTCAGCTCATGATGAAAATCCTGTAATTGTAATTTTGTTTGACAAATTTAATGTACACACACATGTAAAACAACCTTATGTATTTGCGATTGTACAGCTATGAAAATGAATTCGCCGAAAAGAGACTCTTCGCTGAACTACTACTGGTCTTCTGTTTATCAACCTATGATATATCAATGCGTTTGCACCAACAACACAATATGACCTAACATTTACACACACACACAAACACACGCATATCTATAAAGTGCACTGCATATCATACATTCAAAAGAGAATCAAATAAGACCTTAGATAAAATTATTTATATTTCATATGCGAAAAGGCGCATCTCATTTTACACAATATACACTGCAGAAGACGATGGTGATACAGAAAAACGAGGAGGAGGAAGTATGAAATAAGTATCATCTCATTGGATAGACATCAATACACATGGAATAATAATTTCGATATAGTTTCTCTGATTTCACATTTCTCCGCATTGAGATATAAGCACTGGAACTTTAGGCCGATTGTTAGCACCAGTTGGAACATTTTCAATTTTCTTTAACACCAACATTCCATCGACAATTCGACCTTGAATTGAATATGGAAAAAGAAGAAATTTAACCAAAATTATAAGTGAAGAATAACCTTTTTAAGGTTTGAAAACAAATTTAGGTGTTGTGGTGTTTTTTTTGAAACAGGGTAGTTTAGTTGCGAAGCTTTCACTGTCTTACTAGACAACATCCTCAGAGCAAGTATCAACTGCTTCTTTTTATGGATATCAGTAGACTGACTATGGGAATCTCTACCTAAGAAATCTACAATATTCGATTCAGAAGATATCGATGTGCGTTGGTGGCACAGCGGTAGAATGCTCACCAACCACGCATGTGGTCTGGGGTTCGATTCCCGGCTACAGACGCACTCCTTGACCTTGCTAAGTCAGTAATAAGACTGGTAAAGAGGGAAGGTTGGGCATGAAGCTAGCAACTCTATCCCATAAAAAAAGCACCACTGCTACAGAAACTTCAAGCCCTATGTTCCACTGGCGGACGTGAAGGAATAAAAAAACTACGCAATTAAGTATCGTGTACTTTAACAACAGTTTGACCAACAATACACTTATGCAGTTTCATTCATATCTCGATAACTAGACAGAGGGAAATAAAAACCACCCCACCCCCCAATAAAGTTAACTCATACCTATCTATATAAGTTGATAAACACACACACACACACACACACAAATTGTACAAAATCAACAAATCATGTATAGAGTTTTCAGGATATAACAGAATACTATTTTATTTTTATAGCTGTGAATGTGTTATTCCAATTTTAACAAGGAAAACTTCAAAAGATTTGTTCTGGAAGTAATGTAATGATCATGTGATTGAAATATCTGCCACAATTTGTTGTTGAAAGCTACATTTAAAACTGAACTCTTTGAAAGAGTATGGCAGCAGTTCACGTTATCACAAAGGGAGAGAAAGGAGCAAAAGAAATTCGAATAAAAAAAAGTATAATAAGTAGAAATGTATGCGAAAGTGAGTAGTAACACGGGAAAAAAATATGACGATTTCATGGATCCAGCACAATACAAACAGTGAATGCATCTGTGACATTGAGAACGATTTTTAGACATATCACCAATAGTCTTCATCCATCGACTCTTAGCATCCCTGATGATCCCAACCAGACAGGCAGCCAACACCTTCCTAGGTGGTTAGGTCAAAATAACTGTTAAAGGCTTCATAGACTGATGCCAGGTTTTAGTACGACCACTCTCCTAACTCTTCACCAACTTAATCTTCTATCAGCTAACATTACTCGACAAGGAAGGCGGTGGCATGTCATGGGTAAAACATGTCCTAGTCATCCCAACTGATGTACCTTCAAAACCTCATCGACTAATTTTCCACCACCACCCCCGTTAACTAACACTTTACATCCAACCTCAATATGATTAATAGAACTTTGGAAAGTAATTGAGGAAGGCGTGTCACACTGTACAAATTACACCTGTAATTACATGATTAGAAGGAATTCGATTCATAGAACATCATGTAGAACATTGATCGAATGACTAGGCTTGTTTACTGAAGCAAATCAACTGAAATCACTCGCCTAGATCACTAGTGTCATCCAGAAAAGAGTTATCTGAATAGTGAAAAAGGAAATGTAAATGTTGAACTGTATATGGTGAGGTGTATGCCTATGAAATTATTTCTCATATATACATATATATATACATATAATATATAAATATATATAATACATAGTTCAAACTTACCAAAAACAACATGTTTCCCGTCAAGAAAATCACAAGGTGCACAAGTAATAAAAAACTGACAACCATTTGTATCACGACCACTATTAGCCTAAAATAATTTAAAAAAACAGTAATTTTTAAGTATAAAGTAATCATTAATGAAATAAATTAGATACAGTTGATATAGACTAATATAGAGAATGGGCAAAGTTAAACTTTAAACACCACTAACTACCAATCAGCGAATGACCTCGAATGCCCTAATCACGTGAAGAAGGCATTTTTGTGTATGGAATACATATATTTATGAAATAATGCATAAAAACTGTAGAAAAGTGTTACAGAGGATATCTACTTCTCACATGTGATGAAAATAACCCTCAGTTTTAGGTTCGAGTATAAACAGAGTATAATTCCATTGTGGGTAAAATTTAGTTTGATAAAGTTTCAGTGGAATACAGTTTTATTTCCTGAGCAATAAATTACGCTGGAAACGTGGTCATCAGTAAATATTATTGTATAACACCCTGAGACTTTATCACAATGGAATTGTACTCTACCACAGTGCACAAGTTTTATTCTTATATTAACAGAGTAATTTAACCACATTCTATGCATGCAATTATTTAGGTCTTCTAACCATAACCCTAACGTGCGAAAATCTCTAAACCAACTGTAATCTAACTCGAACCATCCCTAATGTCTCAAACCTAAGCTGAACTTGCCAGAAATCCCATTTAATAACATAACACTTCGATGAGCATATTTTATTGATAATGATATCATTATTTGCCAGGTTTCACTAACTTGCTCAGTGAGCGTTTCAAGGTCATTGGTGCGGTCGCACTCCATTGGTAGTTAGTAGTGCTTAAAGTTTAACTTGGCCAGCGAATGTATGGAAGATATGAGGCGTAAATTTTGTTGCCATGATCTATTTAGACCTATCTATTTTTAATAACCAATACGAATTATACTGACTATACGACAGTGACTGTTCAAAGTCCATTCATCAAACTATTAAGGCAGTTAAGAGATCAGTAGAATAGAATACAGTCAACATTAGATCCTGGCATGAATTCATTTAGCCAACAGTAACAACAGTAGAGAGGCTCTTTCTAAAGACAATCACTACCTCTAATGACATTCACTGAAAGTTGAGTTGTTTGACACCTTGGTATGATAAAATAATAGAGCTAAGAGTAGTGAAAAGTTAGTCTAACTGGACACTGTCTAGCAGTTAACAGAAACGCACCAAATGATCCTTTGAAACAGATACTCCTCAAAGAATCAACAGTGAAAACTGCCTGTAGTAACTTTAATCTATCAACCACAGATTTCTACAACTCACCACCAAATTTAGATGTCAAAGGTAGAAACAGCTTTACGCGGAAATTATGGATCTCATAAAGATCTGCTGAATAGCTCGATTTAGAGTGATTTTAAATTACTGATATTTTGCAACATTAAAAAAAATGAATGAGTAGAAAAAAGTTGAACCGTCTGACTATCAGACAACAAAATGTAACTATAAAAATACCTGACCAATAAATAATGCCTTCTACTATTTCTTAAAACACAAACTTGGTACCTTATGGACAACAAGCGATGCGCCATACAAAATCTCACAGTTTGGACAAGGGCTGGAATACTGCTCAGACACCTAAACTGAAGAAGGTGGTTATCTGAAGAGGCCACCACTCTCCTCCAAGCCTTGGACTTGATCCACAAGGTAGTGGTACAGAGTCAGGACGTGCTTTTCCATGGTTTCCCGTGACTGAGACAGGTTCATACGCCATTTGATCCGTTCCAATTCCTGAGACCATGTACATCATAGGTTTGTAATCAGAGTTTTCCAGCTCCCCTAGGTATACCTGCTTGCATGTCCACCAGTTCGGTTGTAAGCGCCAGACGTTCGCATTCGCTGTTTTCTTTTTTGTGAGGAGCACTCCTGTCCGTGTGAAGGCAGTGAATAGGATTCACGTTGTCACATAGACAGCATTTCGACAGGAAGGTCGAAATCTATCCACCTTCAAATATACTCAACCACACATAGGCATAGAGAGTGGAAAGTTTTTTTTATCAGAAATGAAGTGTAAAAAGTGTAAGAAAAGAAACCGAGTTGTTTGTATACCGATTCAGTCGTTCTTTATAAAAAAAATTGAGTTACACTGGGTAACTATAGTATGATGCATGGCCAAGAATAAAATATAAGAATGCTATACTACACACACTAGCGACCATGCACTAAAAAATTTCTGAAATCACATAAATTAAGCCGAACTTCATAATCTGACTGTCAATTTCAATGCTATTTTAATTTAGACAAAGCAATAAGAAGACGTAATTTATCTTAATCGTGTGATGTATTTGCGCAACACATTTCGAACAATCTGATCACACACGGACTTGTCATAGGAATATATATGAAATTAATAAACAGGTAAGTAGTGAGAAAATACACTTAGGTCAAGTTAAAAGGACATATCGAAGGTCAAAATAACAATGAAGATCACTAAACCAAATAACAGAGGTAATAGTACATCTGCCCTGACTGATATCAAAACAAAGTTTACCAAAAAAGGTTTAGTGTGATGACGAATTTGTTTTTGAACGCATAAAGGTGATTTAAACTTTCTAATTGCCAGCTAGGGCTTCCAAAAACTTTAGGATACGCCCCAAACACGTTTTATAGATAGGTTTAAAAGATGTGTTAACGTCAATTTTATGTCCTGTCTCTATAACATGTTTCGCAATAGAGGAGCTAGGTCTCCTGTGTACAACCTTCTGCTTGCAAGTCTAAGAATAGATCAATATATTACTTGCTTCTAAAGAATCTTGAAGTGTAAACATGATGAATTCAACAATCAATACAATGCCATGATTATAGACAGTACTTTCTGCACCTGAAACGGTATCCCAGTAAGAAAAAATCACTACACCATTGAGTCTCATTTGAAATAAGTGAAGTAATACGGAACTACCACCGCTAATCACAATGCCTGGATTGTACACACCAGCAAAGAAATCCACGGAAACATGTCAGAGTTTATATGATCCAGTATCCGAAATAAAATGTGTTGTTGATTTACACATTTGTTAAGATGTTCGAAGAGAGCAACTTACCATAGATAACATTCCACAAGTACAATGTTTCACATGGAAATTTTCATCTGCAAACTGGACACCACCATAAATACTAAATGATCCTGTTCCATCGCCCTAAAATGTAATTCAATTAGAAAGATGTAGAAATTTAGCATGAAGACGTATCTATATCTATTATTCACCATAAAGTAGTATTGCCTGAAAGTAATGAAGAATACCAAAAAAAGGTAAATTTTCGTTTATAAATTCAATTTAAAGAAGGAATCTATTGGCTAACTGTTCGAAGATTATATGCTCACTTAGAATATTCATTGTTTAAAGAAACACTCATGTATCACGGACACTCAAAGAGCACAAAAACTCTTACTAACCCCAATGAAGACATTTACGCTAAGAATTCGAATTCTAAACAATTCGGAGGCTAACCAAGTTACAAGTTCGTATGACAGGTAGATAGATTTAAATCTATGTCTTTCACGTTTTTGTTTGACAAATAGAAGCTATCTCAGATATATTCTAAGTCAACAATTACTTATTCAACAGTCAATGACGAGTTAGCAGTAATAACATACTACTGAATTACTAATTACATTACTAGAGTGATTTATACCTGAAATAGGACAGTAAGGCTAATGCGTTGACAAGTGTGTCTATAGGAAAGATATTATTTGCTATAGAATGAATGAGATTATATAATCTATTCAATAAAAGTTAATTTATTAGGCTTTGTACATTTTAGTTCCATACTGTGCCTAATATCAAAACTGCAGTTACGAAAAAAGTAGAAGAATAAAAGAAGTCTAAAAATTTTGTAAAGAAGGAGAACAGAGTGTTGATCAGCGATTCCTACAGTATACTAAACGATTAGGGATAAGTCATTTTGTTACAAGTGGTATTTAATTGTGAGACGATAACGATGTTTCTAGTATTTTTGGCTGATGGTGACTAGGGGTAGAATCCAGGATTCACATTTCGTCCTATTAGGCACTCCTTAGCCAGATGTACTTGCCCCCTAAGTGAGTAATGGTTTTCTCATAGAGGTACATCCAGCTGATGACTCCCGAATAGAACTGAAAAAACATCATGTCAGTCCTCAGACATCATCGAAGCGTCCATACTAGGAGGCGAGATATCAATATAATCAATCAGCGGGAAATGAAAATTAACCAAAATTTTATCGGCAATTATCTCGGTAGAAGCAAAGTATTAACACACTGATGAGCGAAGCAAGAAATCGTATGCTTTCTAATCTACTAACTAGAATCCTGTGTAAAGTGAAGTAATTTAAACCAGGTGTTTAGTTAGCAACAAAAATATAAAGATGTTTGCAGTGCAATATTCTATAAATTTTCAACATCGAAAAAAATACACCACATTGTAAGGCTGAAATCCGTCTATCCGCCGAACAAACATCAGACATGCAGTTGATAACTATTTTCGAATATTCTCAGACATTTTAATGAGAAGCATCGATTAACTGATATTGATGACAGGTACTCACTCATTCATGAAATTGGATGACGACTCTACTATAAAATTAATTGTTTATCAGTAACTTTTCATTTCTCATACAGATTCTATTTAAAAACTTTATAGTCTTTCCAATCGATTTTGTCCATTTTGTGTCACTCAGATTCATTAGGTCATTTCCACACTGATTGTGTACGATAAACTTCCGTTTGTTAACTTCTGCATGGGCATTCCCCCTAGATTATTTCTGAAATTAAACAAAACACTTTCTAGGGCATAATATACCAGTATTTTATTGGTTTTTATGATTTTCGGTCTTCTTTCCGTTACTGATGTAATGGATAAGGAGTGAAGATGAAAGACTAGCAGCAAAACGTGAGCCAGAAACCTCTTGATTACTATTCTGGTACTCTACCAACTGAGCCAATCACCATCAACGGGAGGGATTTGAAAGAGGTTACTTCATTCACTCATGATCTAGGGAGCATTGTCTCAACTACAGGAGGAACGGACGAGGATGTCAAATCGAGAATCAGGAAGGTGAGAAACACATTCATCAACCTGAAACCAATCTAAAAATCTTCGTCACTCAGCATCAACAACAAAATTCGGATTTTCAATACAAACGTCAAGTCAGTCAGTTCTTCTATAGGGATCAGAAACTTGGCGGCGGGTCACAAAGAATATTTCCAACAGCCTATTGCAGACCTTTATCAACAACTGTCTTCGCTCTATACTCAAGATCAGATGGCCAGAAAGAATCACCAACAAGAAACTATGGGAACAAACAAAACAAGAACCAATCGCCCAACAAATATGCAGGAGAAAGTGGAGATGGATTGGACACTCACTGAGGAGGCCGCTGAGTGAAATCGCGCGTCAGGCCAGTGCTCGAGTGGAACCCGAAAGGGAAGCGGTGAGTGAGAAGTCCAAGGGTGACATGGAGGAGATCATGTGAAGAGGAGCTGAAACAGTATGGACTAACATGGATGCAGGTGAAAAGTACAGCAGAAGACAGAAGCAAGTGGAGACGTGTAGTTGAAGCCCTATTTTCCACTAGGAACCCAAGAGAACAATAATAATAATACCAACTGAGCTAAAAGACCCAATCAATAACTAGGTCATCGCAATGCCTGGAGATCATAAGGACTGATGGCAAGTAATATAATATGGATTGTATACAGCAGTTGGCAGTCATCTTCCTCTTTGTCAAAAATTATCCATTTCAAAGTTATCGGCGATTCCATCGATGAGAAAGTGAACAGTAATAAGTGATGTGCATGTAATGCTGAAATTTCACTCGTATAATACTTTTTTTTTTAAAATATCCCATTTTCTAGAAACTAACTTACATTGATAAAATCTCCACCTTGTACCATGAAATCTTTAATGATTCTATGAAAAGATGTCCCTTTGTATCCAGTTGGTACACCATCTTTACGATATTCACCAGTGCAAAATTGTCTATAAAGTTTTTTCAGAAAAAAACAAACAACAAATTACAATAATTATGTTGTTTTGATTGGACACTAGTTGGTAAATAGTATCATACCTTCAGTCCTTTGCTTGGTGCAAACTGAATTCCGTCAGTCAAGCAAGCAATGTGGCCACCATGCTAAGTGGCTCGCTCGCCATCACAGCACACTTTGATTTGTTGATATGAGATAGTTGGAGGCAATCGGCCACAGGAAGCCTTCGACCTAGGTTTTGTGTTAGTTGGCACCCATCATCAAGGCGTATCTGCAATCTTGAAGGAACTCATGTCTCTCCTGAGATTCGAACCTGTATCACTCAGTGCTGCAGTCAGAGACGTTACCCCTGAGCTATTCAGGCTCGCGATTGACCTCCTGTAGGATTGTACTGAATACTTTGACTTGACACTAGTTTATAACTAGTATAATGCGTCTTGTCCTTTCTTTGGTGTAGTAGATCAATCGAGAGCCCGAGTAGCTCAGTGGTAATATCTCTTACTGTGAAGCACTGGGCGACACATATTCGAATCACAGGAGAGACGTGAATTCCTTCAAGATTGCAGATACGAAACCAGGGTCGAGGGCTTCCTGCCAATTGCCTTTAGTCATCTAATAACAACAATGATGTTGTCCGCGAGAGGCTGAAAATCTTTTAAAAGCCTACAACCGAATCAGTGAACTTCAAGAGTTCAAAAACTTCTATGAATTTATGAGCAAGGACATCTCGGGTTAAAAAGTCCTGATAAAATCAGTCACTTTAGAATACATACAGATCACAAATTGTACTCTACTTCACTCTGTATCCTTTAAACCAGCAGTCAGTACACATCAACCACCCTGTAGGGATCAAAACAAATCGGATGCCGAACGCTTTCAGATATTTGTTCAGGATGTTTAGAAGACTATACATTCTTTCACCGTTACCATACAACCGGATTTTTCACGGTATCAACATGATTTTTGAGACACCAGCGTCAGGTATAATCACAGAGGTATGAATCCAACAGTTAGTTTGAGCCAGTCACATAGGGAGGTGTAGACTTCCTGGTTGGGGTCCTCAGGATGGTAAAAACCAATGAAGGCTGGAGACTACTGGTGATATGGTTTAAAATCGTTCTCAATGTCTGGTACAGATGCATCCACTCCTTGGGATTTATCATATCCTATAAAACTCTATTGTTCTTCCATATTACTATTCCTTTTGCTTCATATTTCTGTTTATCATCTCTGTTTTGAATCTTTCTCTACTCTTTTCTCTTGCTTTGTGTACTACAAGGAGGGAGTGTGGCAACTCGAACTACTGCACATCTGTGTAAAGTTCTACGTTGAAACCAGTCAGTCAGTCAGATATAATCACTTCCACATGATTAAGGCAATTATGTAGGAATGGTGAAATTTAATATTCCTGGAGAACGCAGATTCCCGTCACAGCGTACAATAACATACTACAACTTCTTAAACGGTTTCATAAAACTCAAGTAGAGTGTCGTGATTAGCATAACTCCTCATTATATCAAGAAAGGAAGCAAAGAAAAATGAACCAGTCTTTGTAAGCAATCAAAGACAACTTACCTGAAATTCTCTACAGTTTTCGGGACAATATCTTGAAAGAGTTCAAACTGCATTCGACCAATTTCCTAAGAAGACAAAAAAATATTAAAAAATGTTTATTTAGAATCAATGAGAAGTAAACAAATATAAAACTTTTGTTCACAACTGTAAATTATGCAGTCATATTGAAGATGCACACTATTATAGCAACACTGACATTGCCTCCAATGAAACACAGGACTCCCATAAGACAGACATTATTATTCTTTAATTAGGTTTGGAAAAGCTTAATGACAGCAGTAACAGTTATTATAACGGACTACAATAAGCTCTTTTACACGAATTTCTAATTATTTTTAAGGACAGCGATAAAGTATCCAGTATATCAAAAATCTTGTGTCGAGTATAAGCGTCAGGCTGCAATTCAAAGTCATTCAAATTTTCTAAGGGTGAACATGATGTACAACATAGATGAATCGACTAATCATTGAAATTCATGAAAAATCCCCATTCCAACATTAAAAGAAAGAAGATCAGTAATTCAGTCAACAGTCTCTTTTCAGCGAATTCATTTTCACAGCTGTACAATCTCTGTATATATCAGTTCATCTGTTGCTGTGGAGCTAGGTACATCGGTCGTTCGATGAGCATCCTGTCAAAAAGGATCGAAGAACACTATCCAACGTGGCTGCAGAAAGGAAGTAGTGACCGTATAAGGAGTCCAATAATCGAACACCTCGTCACCACTGGTCATTCCATCTCAACAAATGCCTCCTGCTTCAAAGTAATCTATCTACAAAGTAAGTAACAACCCGTCAAAGACAATACGTTTCCGTCTTCTTTGCATTGCGGAAGCCCTAGCCATCCAGTTGGAAGAACCAGAACTATACACACAAAACAAAATTATTCAGCCACTTCTACTATCATCGTAACAACTCTGTTGATTTGACTTAACTTTTGTTGATATGCTTATTTTTCTAACTACTTAAAACCCTTGCGTAATTCCGTATGTTATTCTGTTTCCATGTACACCCTGAGCACAACTCTTTCATCAAACTATTCATGGTATTACGCAACACTTCTTTAGAAATCGTTTGTGACAACTCATCATTTTCGTTATTTACTACCCTCTTATATCAACATCCAACTCATGTGAACTTACTAATTGTATTTTCGTTTGACAAATTTAGTGTACACACACATACGAAATAACCATATATATTTGCGATTATACAGCTATGAAAATGAATTCCCTGAAAAGAGACCCTTCGCTGAAGTACTGGTCTTCTTTTTACTAATCTCTGAAATACCAGTACTTTGGAAACTATGATCAGTATGACGAGATCAATACCCTCGTTTATTATGAAGAAAAAGTACACGCAATAATGGGACTTTGCTATCCAGTACATTATTTCCCAATATATTAGGCTAAAAGCTACACTTGATATATACAAGGGCTGATGATCACTGGTTCTTTGAGTACGAATATTTAGGATAAGATTTGAGCATAAAATTCATGCATTAAAGAAAATTATACGTCTGTTTTCGACATAGAGCTTTGCACATATGTGGGGCAGTTCAAGTCACCACACTCCATGTAGCACACAAATCAAGAGAGAAAAGTAGAAGAAATGCATAATAATGACAGTAAACAGAGGTGTGAGACAAAGGAATAGTAGTAACGAAGAACAATATAGTTTCATTGGAAATTATAAGTCATAAGGAGTGGATGCATCTATGCCAGCCATTCAGAACGATTTTAAGCCATATCACCAAATGTTTCCAACCATTGGTTTTTACCGTCTCAAGGACCCCAACCAGGAAGTCTACACCTTCCTACGTGGCTTAAACTAACTGTTGTGGATTTCATTGACTGATGAAGCCATGTGTTCGATTGACCACCACTGGCTCTTTTCCAACCTGATCCATCCTATGTCAGCTAACATTGCCCGTCGAGGAAGGCGATGACTAGGCATACGTAACACATGTCCCAACCATCTCAATCGATGTAATTTCACAGCCTCGTCGATTGATTTCCCCTCCTTAGCTAGCACTCGACCGACGCCTAACCTCAATATTGCTCACTTTAATACACCACTTCATGCGGGAGATAGAACGCAGACACCTATGATCGAAGACAGCTAATCTTTTCATGTCTTCCACTCTTAATGGCCAGGTCTCACAGCCATAATGGAGGACCAAGTGGACTGATGAGCAGTACACACGCCCTTTGGTCGACAGCCAGCTGGGTATCACGTCTACGCTAGAGACGGCGTAAACTGGTATATGCGAAACTAGCCTTCTGTATCCATGCTGAGATTTCGTCAGCAATCAACTCGTTGGGGCTGATGGTACTTCTCAAATAAGTGAAGCGGTCAACGTGCTCTACCACTTCACTTCCTATTTCTCAACTAGGAGTCAGTGTAGTCCAGTCCTATACCTATGATACAGATTGATGCAAAAGTTAAAAATGTTTTCAAAACACAATAATACTCATTCACACTAAGTTTTGTTCATTTGTAACATAGATATCAACTAAAAGTTCACAAGTATAAAAGCGACTATAATTAATAATAGGATTTAAAAACAGGTTACTGTTAGCCGCCTAACAATCAAAAGACGAGTCTACTTGAAATCACTGAGCCATGTTTAATTTTGCGCGTAAGCTGTATTCATCACCGATGGAAAATCAGAGACGTCGGAAACTACTTCCTGTTTTGGAACCCTAATAGTCTAACGATTATATTGAAAACATTATTGCAAGTCAACATAGAAAAAAAACACTAGTCACTCTAATTAATACTAATTCACAGCAACATCGATTAACTTGCTTTTCTTGTTAAGTAATCTTGGATTATGCAAACGGTCTACAGATTTGAACCAATATGGTCACTGAGCTAAACTACCAGTTGTGCACTGTGGTGGTTAGTAGCAGCACTTGGCAGCGTGTAGTATCCTTATTCTTAAGGAAACCCATCTTGCCTCCGTTGGCTAGTACTAGTATAACATAGTGACAAAGCCAGAGACTTCAGAACAAAGTACTGAGTGGTGTATGGTAGAATCAAGGCAAGTTTCCTAGGGGTGAAGATGCGTCTTGTTGATAAGCACGAAACATACGGCATATGGTCAATTGACTCCCACAAACTAACTCTGTTTAGTAATGTACTTGTTTTCCATAGATTTACCCATAAAGTGCTATTTGTCGGATATATATGGCCTGACTGACTGGTTTCAACACAGAACTTTGCACCGATGTGCAGCAGTTCAAGTCGACACACTTCATGTGTCTATGGTATCTTCAACATCTCATCATCACAAATGAAGCCGGCAGTCAATGTGCCTAAACATTACAATCCTTCGTGTTTAGCTAGGTTAAGAACTATCCTGAAATATCCCTTATAAACTCAATAATCTCAGTATTCTGCTCTACTTTTTCCGATATTTTATAGTCACCGCTATATAATAACAGATTTTTTTTCCTTAGATCTAAACTCATGAGTAATACAACTACAGTTAAGAATACAAGTAAACACAAATATACAGAGAATACTGGTAGAAATAACTACTGAAAGGTTACTCGCTTGTAGATATTGATAAATGTTTCACAGTAAAAATTACAATTTCCTTCAAGCTTCCAAAATCATATTTAGTAGTTTAGTGTGTAGTCTAGCTATCCATCCATCTCTTGGAAAGAAAGATTTTCAAAAGAAGAAATAGTTAATGACTACATTTAAACAATCACATACAAAAGTTTTCATTTACCTGACCCCCAATAGTCACATCGAAAAAAACGACCGGATTTTTAGGATTATTCATACGTTCTGCAACAGCTGGCAACGGTACCGCCATGATCTAAACAAAATTGGCAGAATAATATAGCCATTTTTTTTTAATTTTAACGATGAAATAATGGAAACATACAGAAAAGAAATCTGTTAACTAGAAGATTATATTAATTGTTGGAGTCTAGCCTTAGTAAATTTCATCATCATACTCAAACATCTATTGTTCTACAACCAACTCGTAAACATTTCTGATAACTCACCTAAATTAATCGTGCGTCAGTGGCACAGTGGTAGAATGCTCGCCGACCACCCACGTGGTCTGGGGCTCGATCTCCGGTCGACGCACTCCTTTACCTCGCTAAGCCAGTAATAAGACTGGTAAATAGGGAAGGTTGGGCATGAGGCTAGCAACCCCACCCCGTAAAAATAAACACTACTGCTACTGAATCTTCAAAGCTCTAGCTTGAAGCCGCCCTATGTTCCACTGGGAACGTAAAGGAATAAAAAAACACCTAAATTAACACAGTGAGTTAAGTAGCGCATATCTCAAGTCTTGTCCAACAAAAAATGCTACTGACCAAATGAATTACGAAGTCAAGGAATAATTTTCCCATTAAGGATTCGAATTTATCCTTTAGTCATTCATTGTCGCACAAGTGAAATAGGCTACTGATTAACAGGTGTACATTATTATGTGATGATTAGCTCCCAGTAATCAAATGAATGAATAAAAACCTCTAAGGTGAAGTGAGTGAATGAGTATTATTTATTCAGTGTTAATAGAATACTATACTACTGTGTATAGTTTACAACAAGTGGAACGTATGAAATTAAGTCTTCTAATGAAAAAAACAAACAAACAGAAAACTCTACAAAGTACAACTGCCACATTTTGGCTGTTCTCATAATACACTGATACGAGTTCAAGTACGAAAGCCAGCGAATATGATTATCAGTGAAGAAATTTGCGGTCAACACTTCTTAATATTTAATTGGTGAATGGTGACTAGCAGTGGAATCCAGGATGCGCATTTCGTCCTATTTTGGACTCGTCATCTGAATGTGCCTGCATTTCTCAGTGAGTGATGACGTTCCCACCGAGGCTCGAACATGACATGTCAACCTGAGACCGAGCACTTCAGTTGAATCAATCGATGGGAAAATTAAATTAATATTACCCATTGCACAAGAGGTGGCTCTCGTTGCTCAAGTGGTCTAGTGGATAACGCTTTGGCGTTTGAAACTAAGGCACTGGGTTCGAGCTTCGGTGGGAACATCATCACTCACTGAGGAATGCAGGTACATCCATATGACGAGTCCCAAATAGGACGAAATGCGCATCCTGGATTCCACTGCTAGTCACTATCCACCAATTAAATACTAATTAAATGCCCAGACATCGTCGAAGCATCTGCAAAAGAAGCCGACATGTCAACCTGAGACCGAGCACTTCGGTCCAATCAATCGACGGGAAAATCTAAAATTCAATTTTAATAGCTGAAGGATCTTAGACTAGAAAAAAAATATTTTTACACAACGTTTAATCTGAAAGTGTCTTTATAGAATGGTACATCGTCTCTGGCAAATGACATTAATTTTCTTTGCAAACAAATCCTACCACAGGGATTAGAAAGAATGGATAAGCATACTTAACAGATGCTTATATATGTTTTTACAGTGACGCATGAACAGAAATATCAAACCAATTTCAGACAAAGTAAAGTTTGAAATACGTGACAATTACAGAATATAATCCTTTTATGGAATAAACGACAGAGAGAGAGAAAGAAACTTTTGCAAGTTATTTCTCCACTCCTTTAGCTTCCGAGTGGAACATATGGCTTCAAGTTTGAGCTTTGAAGTTCCAGTGGTGGTATTTTCTACTAGGTAAGGTAGCTAGTCTCACATATAACTCTATTCACTTACAGGTCTAGGAATGCATCGGTAGGAAGTCGAACCCGAACCATATAGACGGTTAGCGAGCTTTCTTCCCCTGAACTACTACAGACTCTATGATGTCGTGTAATTAAAAAGAGAAATAATCTCCCAGTCGTATGACTTTCAATAATCCATTAATTAGTTACACTTATTAGACTTACAACCACTTATCTGATCTCTACTCTGAATAAGCAACAATAGAATGCTGTCCGGTTGATTCGAAAAAGTTGATTCATCAGTAGATACCAATTCTATTACCTATTTTTTCAGATATATGCATAGATTCACGAATAATTTTACTAGCATGGAATGCTTTGTCTTAGTCATTGTTTAACATGAATTACCCAGAACATATTTTTCATGGATCGGACTAAGAGCTCCACTTATCACGTGAGGGCTGTTAATACTACCCAGTTTGAAGTAAGTGGAACGGGACTCGAACCTATGATCCATCGGTTGAAGCCAATTAACCTTCAGTCAATGTCAATAACTGAAATAATCGCAATGAAAACAACAAAACCTCACGATAGTATAACCAGAGAACATATGTTGAAAATCTCGTTTGCCTCCCCCTCTCATAACCATTACTGTTCTGTTATATAATGCAGTGCACACATCGCCAGATATATATACATGCATACATACACACGCGCACAATCAAACGACAACATGACACAACATCAGAAAACTAGCTATACATTTAAAGTAAATACTAGATCTATTTCCAATGTAATAAGCAAAAATAACGTTAGTTATTAACATCATTCGAACAAAACAAAAAACGGAGGAAACTAGAAATGCAAATAAGAAGGCAAAATACTATAGGAATAGAAATGCAACTTTATTATAACAATGCGTATATGCAGGATTATGTAATAAAATATATACATTTTAAAAGAAAACAAAAAAATATACAAAAATATTTACAGGAATACGATTTTCTACAAGGAGAAATGCTTCGAAAAAGAAAAAAAATCAACAGCAACGGCAACAGCAAACATGTATAGTATGATAATGTATTACAACACTAATTTATGCAAAATATTTTCGGCAAATTTGTGTGCAGTGCTCCATCACTTCAGCGGGAAATATCACATTCTTCTTTTGGATTATTGGCGGTATTATACATAGTTTGCATCAGTGAAAGTGTCTGTCCAGTTAAATCTGTTAATAGACAATAATTGTTGGACAAACAAGAAAAAGTTGATTGAGATAACGATGGAAATATCCAATTTTAATATTGACTCAGTCAGTTGCCAATTTTACTGCAGTAAGATAAAATAATAAACAGAATTTTACAAGTAAGAAAATCATACTTAATAAATGTGAATGTTTGGTTACAGGGTTTCATCATGAGCTGACATTGGTTAGAGAACCATTGGAAAACTTGGGAGTACTGGACATCTGTTTCGTCCTAGTTTGGGACTCTTCATCAGTACGCGCCCACCGGGATTCGAACCCAGGACTTTCTGGTTACAAGGTGAGCTAGTATACCAATAAGCCACTGGGACCCGATCCAATGGCCCATGAATTCTAACTTCCGCCAATTCACGATATAGCGCAACCGCTAGCCAATGTCTTTGGCGAGTATTTGTCCCGGTGGGTGCGTACTGATGAAGAGTCCCAAACTAGGACGAAACAGATGTCCAGTACTCCCGAGTTTTCCAATGGTTCTCTAACCAATGTCAGCTCATGATGAAATCCTGTAACCAATCAACCAAATCTCTACAAACCCATACTTAAATGTGAATGTGTTACATGAACTTGAATTCTACTTGACTGATAAAGAATTCTACATAATCCACAAAATCTCTGTTGAAGATTATTATTTTGCATTTCTTGCCGGTCAATTTTTTACCTGACCAGTAGTTTCTCTTGACATGTCGTCTGTCACCCCAACTAGTACAGACGCTTCGACAATATATGTATCTTAAAGGTCAACACAACGTGTGTCACAAGTAGCACAAAACATATGTGCTAGATTCTAAAAAACTAGCCAAAATCAATCAAATAATATATTCCACTTAGTATTCAATCAAACTGAGAATATATCTCAAAACTCATTAATAATGTTACATAACGTCTCCAAAAAGTTCGCCTACACATTCATCACATAACACAAACCAAAAGTTGCAACTAAAGTGGAAAGTGGATGCAACGAAGTACTACTGCAATCATTTGATGAGCCGCAAAAAATCGTATAGTTTACCTAAAGTAGATTGAACATTTTTTGGTTTATTTCATCAGGAGAACTAACCATAGCATCTTCTCCGCCTACAAATGCCATTGAAGCTAAAATTAATCTCGATCGAAGAACAGAATTCGAATCCACATCGATTTCAGACAGTTCTACATTAATTCAATCATCCTATGTTATTGAATCATGGTATGCCCTTAGGTATTCATCAATCAGCCTAAGACAGAACCATCGGTTAACGTTGAGCTTGTTGAGAAAACGTAAAACTATGAATTTCAGTAGATCTCCACGACTCTTATGCTTCTTCTCTTAACCAACTTCTCTGATGAAGTCTACAATAGGCAGAAATAGAGTTGGGAGGTGATTTTTCTGCTATTTCAATAATCTCAAGCGTTTTCCCAAGCTAACAGTGTCTCCAAAGGAGTAGTTACATTATTACAGAATGAAAAGAGTAGTCATACCCTACAGCATGGAGCTGAGACAACTGTATGTCTTAACGGTTAAACATCACGCCACGTATTAGGGAGACTGACTAGACAACTATCCAGAAATGAAGCATTAAACACAAACCGAAATATCACTGAAGACGTATGCGTTCAGCTCAAGATGTCTAGACCATTTTGTTATTTCAACACTAGGATCAGTAGACAATAATCTGAAAACAACAACACATGCAATCTACAATATGCAGATACACTAGTAAAATTATTCTGAGTATTAATCAGACATCGAAGTAAACTGATCATACTACTCAGACATATTTTGATTAACATTAATAGGAAGATACAAATTTTACACCAAATGACTTTAATACTAAAGAATTCAAGTGAACAGATGAAGTTAAGATAGTCTTTTGTTTTGATGATAAAATTATTTTAACTTGTTTTTATTAGACTGTTTCATCAATTCATTATTCAAATTTCAAGGTGGATTCATCATTCAATCATTATCTGATAATAGAAAGTGAATACACTATTGCATGGAAGACATGAAAAGATTAGCTGTCTTTGATCATAGGTGTTTGCGTTCTATCTCCCGTGTGCAGTGGTATAATAAGGTGAGCAATATTGAGGTTAGACATCGGTCGAGTGCTAGGTAAGGAGGGGAAATCAATAGACGAGACTGTGAAATTACGTCGACTGAGATGGTTGGGACATGTGTTACGCATGCCTAGCCATCGCCTTCCTCGACCAATGGGCAATGTTAGCTGATATAAGGTCAGGCTGGAAAAGAGCTAGCGGTGGTCAATCGAACACATGGCTTCATCAGTCAATGAAATCCACAAAAGTTACTTTAAGCCTGCCAAGTTGGAAGATGTAAACTTCCTAGTTGGTGTCCTCGGGACGGTAAAAACCAATGGTTGGAAACAATTGGTGACATGGCTCAAAATCGTTCTCAATGGCGCAGATGCACCCACTCCTTGTGACTTATGATTTCCAATGAAACTGTTTTGTTCTTCGTTATTACTATTCCTTTGTCTCACACCTCTGTTTACTGTCTCTATTATGCATTTCTTCTGCTTTCATCTCTTGCTTTGTGTGCTACATGGAAGGAGTGTGGCGACTTGAACTGCTGCACATCGGTGCAAAGTTCTATGTCGAAAACAGACAGACAGACAGACAGGTGATACACCACCATAGTTCACTACTTAATTTTAAGTTGTTCTCACCTTTTAATTTTGAAACATTTCAAACTGCTTTTGCGTTCGTCGACTTTGACGGCCGTTTCTTTTTCTTTGGTTTTGTGTGATTTTCTGGCACCAATTCATTGTCAACTGAAGAATTTGGGGGAACAGAAGAGTCGTTCGATTTAGTTGGAGTTGAATGACTAGAAGTAGTTAAAATGTTCGGAATTTCATGAAGAAACGTTGAAGAAGAAAGCTGATCACACCATTGTAGAACACTAGATGGATACTTATCGAGTAATAAGGAGAAAAATTCAACGTCAGATTTATTTGATTGGGAACCCCGTGTATACAATGATGGACACGTTAGTACACGTGATGGAACATTATCTAGTGACAAATTCACTTTAGATCGTCCATTTTCTAACTTCTTTATCTGCTGTACACGGCGCTTGATTGGCTTCTGTGAATTTTTCATTTCATTTGAAATTGACTGCTTAGAATCAGAACACAATGATTCCCCACATGAATTGACGACAACATTATCATCATTTCGATTATTAGCAGGTGGCGGTGATGGACTAAGTGGAGAATCTAGTATCGGAGGATCGATCATAAGTTTGTTTCGAGTGATAATTTTTTGGGCTACCTCAGACTCTTTTGATGAGGACAAATCTGGTGTTTTTGTAATCTTATCGGATATATCAGGAACATCGACAACTTCAGTTGAACCTAAAAAGTAAATAAGAGATTAGGAATCAGATGATCGATAATAAAAATGACTGCGGATTAAAAACTGACGGTGTTTTGAGTGATGATAGCAGTTACTACAACTTAGCAAAACGAAAATAAGCATGTTTGACTAACGTTCACACTAGACACCATGAGTTAATCCATAACACATTCATAATACAGTACTCTTGCATGAACAATTCCCAAAGTTCCATTCACCAGACAACCAGGTGACAGTGATAAAAGTATTACAGGGAAACTAAGCCACATCTTAGTGTACTTGTCAATCTAGAAAGCATAATATGCAGTGGATGATTGTGACTATGCCATAACACTGAATACAATGAGAACAAAAGGTTTATCGTCCTTTATACACAGTATAATCTGAACTGATGAACCCACAAAATTAACTGTGAAAGAAGAACTACAAGAAAATTTTGACATATCTTGAGTAAATTGTAATTCTTACTCGAAAAGCAAGATTAGTTCAGAAACTATCTTTCTCAACATTCAACTCATATTATTCCAGTAATTCGACCTCAAAAACGATTCACTTTGAGAACATCTTTCTCAGAATAAAAAAACACATTAAACAAAACTCTTCTATACAGTATGCAACAAAACAAAATCTCCATGACTACCTTATTTCAAAAATGTTAATTCTCTAGTCTACTCATATTTGATATTTGCACATCTTTTGAATTCCTGCCACTAGGGGAGCATGCATGAACTGAGAAAATCATTTCAATAAGAATTAAGAAATTCTCAATCAAGCTTATCTAAAACAAGGAAATGTACATACACACAAACTCACTTCAATTGAATGATATACATTACTGGATAAATAACATTGGAATAGGGATAAGTAAATAAGAAAGAGTGGAACAGTTTTATTACCTTTACTTCCCTCAGAAGTATTATTCATCACTGGTGATGTTTCCGAAATGCGTAGACACCGTTGTGAGCACTCGGGACTGTTTTCCACTGATTTCGATTGTAAATTTGGAGTGGTATTGATATCCGATCGAGTATTTGGCATTGATGAAAAATCAGATTTTTTATTGTAACCATTAGGAGAGTTTCTTGATCGATTCTTAGGAGAGCTACAGGTGTCGGGAGCCAAACTTGTGCAATTCATTTCATGTGATGGAGACTCAATCATTTTATTGGAATCTGCTGGCATATTCTCGTCACATATTGTTAAAGGTTCATTATGATCATTAGCGTCATCATCATCATCATCACCATCATCGTTGTCATCCGAAGATATATCAGGTATTATCAGATCACGACAATTTGATTTGGACGCTTCACTCTCACTCATTGAGGATATAGACATTACTGCGAAAAATGAAAGTAAGGTTGGAAGCGAACATAAACACATAACAAAAATCACAATGCTCAGTAAATATTCATCTTATATCCAACATAAAACTCATACGCGAACAACAAACGCCAACCAGTAGTGCTCACTAGGCACATCAATGTGTGTTTCTGTGTGCGTGTGTGTGTGTGTGATCTCAAACTAGTTATAGTTATGGCTAGGTCACGTGCTGCGGATGCCTAACCACCGCCTCCCCCGACGGGCATTACTAGCTGATATAGGTGCAGGTTGGAAAAGAGTAAGTGGTGGCCAAACAAAAACATGGCCTCATCAATCCATGAAATCCCTGACAGTTAAACTGAGTCAGGTAGGGAGATGCAGACTTCCGGGTTGGGGCCCGCCCTCGGGACTCTAAGAATCGATGACTGGAGACAATAGGTGACATGGCCCAAAATCGTTGTCAATGGCGCAGATGTATTCAGTCTCTGTAATATTTCATATTCCTTTCTACCATTACTCATTCTGTTTCACTCTTATACTTGCCAAAACTCTATTGATTCTCTCCACTCATTTTCTTGTCTACCTTTGTGTGCTATTTGGAACGTGGCAACTCGAACTGCTGCACTTCGGTGCCAAGTTCTATGTTGAATCCAGACAGACAGACAAACTAGTTATATTGGTCTGTAGTACATAATGTATCGTGGAAACAGCAGTGAAGTAGGAACTCGGAATATCTAGGTTACAAACACTTTACTTGAACTTCTAATCAAAATAAAGCATGATATAGTTTTTTTTCAATTCATTCATTATAGTAACTTTTAGGTGGAAAAGAGACAACTGATTAGATTGAAAAATCCCCACTTAGCATAAGATAGCATACAACAAAACTTAGATCTTGTTACTTTATTCAAATTTTCCATGGAAGATCCAAGTAGGCCATTAGCTATGGCATAGCAGAATCAACTCTCCTTTTCTTCTTCTAGATAAATTTTGAAATTAGGCATTATACTAAGCTGTTCGGCAAAAACAACTATTCAAGTGTTCAAATTACAGATAATCATCAAATAGGGTCTAAGGCTGTAGATTACAACATGAAAGTTAACTAACTAGAGACCAACAAATCACGTATTCGAAATCAAGTTGTCTTTTGTTGCATACCACAGAAAATGACACCTTGTCTTTAAGAGACAATATAACCAGTAAAACAAAAACATGGGAGTACTGGACAGCTGTTTCGTCCTAGTTTGAGACTGTTCAGCAGTACGCACCCACCGGGATTCGAACCCAGGGCCTGAAAATCCTGTAACCAACCAAATCTCTACAAACCAACACTTGAAAAATAAAAATACGCATAAGTGGTGAAACCCATTACTTGGTGTATATAAATTCATTATTCTAAACTACAGGAAACTTATTCATTTAAGTATATTTCAAATAAAATACTAAACATGAACAAGTGACTTTACTGTAGTTATCGTCAATGGATTATTGTATGTGATACCGCTGTACAATTAAAACAAACAACTTACCTTCTACTTTATTCGAATCACCACACGACTCATTTGCCAGTGATTTGACATCTACCATACCACAGTCATTCAGACTATCGTCTAAATCCACTTGACATCGATTAGTTATAAGCTCCTTCACACAAATAACAGAATTTGCAGAGGGGCTTTTGTTAACTGCACAAGACTTCCGACCATTAGTTTTCATAGTTGGTGATTTAGATATTGCACAACTAGGACCGGCTTTATTATCTGTTTCATTTACGCTCTTTTTAGATCTTTTGGAAGTCGAACTATTCACAGATCTCCGGCTTCGTTTAGACTTTGCACATTTGTCAGGTGTAGATTCACATTCTGTGAATTGAGACAACTCCATTATTACATGATCAGGAACGGGTATATTAAGAAGTTTAGAGACCCGTGTCATACACTGAATGTTTAACACCGAGTTCAGTGACTTCAATTGGTTCACATCATAATCTTTTTGTAATATACGCCAAACAGGCTCACACAGAGTCTGGAATTCTGTTTGCACTGAATCGATGAGATGAGACTGGATGAGTTCCTAAGAGAAATAATACGGTAGACAAACGGATTATATATATATATATATATATATATATGAATTTACTCATGAACGTTGGATAAAAACAGCTTAAATTGTACGACTGTCACAGCCACTACAACAGTGTCAACATGCAAGTGTGTGAGTGAGTGAGTGAGTGAGTGAGTGAGTGAGTGAGTGAGTGAGTTAGTGAGTGAGTGAGTGAGTGAGTGAGTGAGTGAGTGAGTGAGTGAGTGAGTGAGTGAGTGAGTGAGTGAGTGAGTGAGAAAAGTCCTAATAGAAAATAAAACTGAGAATTGCTATAAAACAAATACTAATCACCAACACAGCATTCATCCAAAGGGATAGAATGGAAGAATTTCTAAGAAACATTAACTCTTACAGCTATAATATATTGCAATCCCTTTAAACAATTCATATTTCTGAATAAACATACGAAGTGTTTCTTCGAGTATATGAGTCATTATTGGGTGTAAGTATTAAAACGGCCATCAGATTTATCTTCATAATATGAGTGGGAGAAAAAATAAACGAATACTTGACAGTCTCACTCACATAATGTGTACTTTACTACTCAAAATAATTACATATTTCATCCATAACTTGATCGTTTAAGATAGTTTTATATTCATTCCACACAAAAGGTTATCATTATAAGTCACACTGAGGTAAATATATATTTTTTAACATTTCGCTTGCCTTCTCTCTTTAACATTTATCGTGTCGAGTAGGTTACATGGTGAGACTTAAATAGTTTAGACTTCTAAGGAAACTGTGTACTTTATACACAACCGATTGCACTTCAAACTAAACAGTATTAAATTCAAAATTTTAAGGAACAGAAAGGATTAGACTTCAAGTTACTCCATCTGATATCCTTAAAGGATTATAATCGGGAATATTGAATACTTTAAGAGGCAAGTCTAGAGTTCATTATGTGACAGATTTAAATTTCATCTACAGGCCACACGAATGACGATGTCAAAGGGAGGATCAGAGAAGCGAGAAACACCTTCATTAATTTGAAATCAGTCAAGGAATCTACTATATTAAGCATGAAAAACAAGATTCAGATTTTCATCATTAATGTCGAGTCAGTGCTTCTATATTCTTCAGAGACTTGGTGGATCACTGAAACCATTTCCAGCAGGCTGTTGCAGGCTTTTATCAACAACCGGCTCTAACACACTGAAGAGTAAACTACAAGCCAGAATGGATTGGCAACAAGAATTCTGGCAGTAAACCCACCAGGAAGCTATTGGTTGATAAATATACAGATGGATTGAACATACGGTTGAGGGAGATCGAGCGTCACGCACTTCAATAGGACCTGAACGGAAAACGACGAGATGACCACCAAAGTGTGACATAGAGGAGGTCATGTGTGGTGGATATGATGGCTTATGGGTAGTCTTGAAGATGGCTATCAAGGACTGCAGGGAACAGATTGAAACCACGGTGCCGCTGAAGCCCTATGTTACACTTGGAATTCAAGGGAATAATAACAATAATACACAAAAAACATAATACGAAAGTTCGTCAGCATGTTTACCTTTTCGAGCATCACACTTAATGTTTGCCTTAAATCGTTAACTTCATCTTTAAGAGATTCTGACAACCTAGTGCGACGTTCTATTTCTCTGCGTAATTGAATTACTGTATCTTGAGATATTTGGTTATTTTCAGGGAAGTTAGCCACAGCTATCATTGTTGTAGCCACTGTGTCTGCATTATCATAAGCAGTGTACTGAGAAGTCTGTGGAGTATTGATAATAGGACTACTAGTAGAAGGACGTTGAACATTTGACGATGCTAAGCGTGCGCGTAAAACAGAGGCTTCTTTACGAACACGAGCAAGTTCATTTTTCAAATCATCCCGAAAGTGATTGCCTTCATCAATCATACTTCGATAATGCGATAAAGTATCCTAAAAGCAAAAGATAAAGACAAAACTTTTGAAGTAAAACTAATTCATCGTACTTTAATCATTCTTACCAAATGAAAACATTCACTTGAAGTAATTTACCAAATCATTATATGACTTCACAAATACCGGAAGTCGAAATTAATTCATTTACACAACTTTCAAACTCTGCAAAGATTGCATTTTGTAAGTTTTCAAAAAAGTTTCCAAGAAAATAGAAAATGGTTCATTACACGGAATCAAATCACAATGACCAGTACGTGCTGTAACATCCAGGAATATAAATTTTAGATGAAAAAGGTAAGCTACATATCAATCACTAACAGCTTAGAAGGCTAAAACAAAAGTTAAGTCTGTTGAGAAAATCACTGGTACACTGAGGGAGAAATTGACCCCCTAACTTCTTGGTTAAGAGTTGAATGTCTAGCTTAATAGGTCTAACTCAACCTATGCAGAACAGAAAGCTAACAAATGGCCTCATTTTACAGTATAATGGTTCAATCAGCCATATACAAATACCAAACATTTTTCATGCCTAACCAACCAACAGGAAATGAATATGCGAACCTAACCAGTACCATGAAGAGATTGAACCCGACAGAACTACAAAAAAGAAATCATTTCACTTTCAATATACATACATAAATGGAAAATGAGAGTGAGAAAAACAAAGTTCTACAATTATACTATTTCCAATAGTAAAATTAGATTCTTAATTGGCAAAACATGAGCTTAAGTGCTCTTTACTTTCATATGAAAGCCTTTAAAAACTGATATCTATAAATATACGCTTTGAACTTGCAAACATACTTTGTACACCATCACTTCTCTCCGCATTTGCTCCATTTCCAGTTTGTGACGAAGTCCGGCTTCAAGCTGGGCACGAACTCCAAAGAGAGAATTCCGAAGGTTAGCCAACTGACTTTCAGCTCTTCTGGCGCGTCTTATTGCCCAGTCTCGTTCCACACTAGCTGAGTGTTGATTCATTTGATCCCGTAGAACAGGTCGTTGACCATTAGTGTAGGGTTGAAAAGAATTGTTGCCATTTAGTCTGTCTACCTCAGGAGTATTGGATACTAGGTCACTCTGTCTTTGAATAAACCAGCTTTTAAATATAAGCACCGCATCAAGGAGGTTCGAGCAATGTTTTGCAATGCGACGACAGCTTACCTAGATGATGAAAAATAGCTATCATATCAATTACTATAAAGATAGATATTTTGTTCAGATCAAAAATAATGTCCCTAGAAGTTTATTAAGGAAAAACTCCATCTTTCAACATCCAATTGATCAAACAAAGAAACAAGAAGAGAGGGTGCACAAAATTGCATTGGTCCAATTCGTCACGTTGCCACAAAGTAATAAAATGAAGATAAGTGTGAGTGGTGTGTTCTTAATTACACAACACGGAAATTCTTCATACCCAGCCACATACTGGTGTCACAGATTTTGATCCTTAATTATTCAAGGTGACATAAGAATCACGCTTCTCAAACACTGTTTACTCACTTCAGACGTCTCATTTTAGAAGCAACAGATACACAGATACGTTGGGACACAAATGACACTGGCGGAACTCTGTGAAAATCACACCACATAGATATTCGATTTTCATGTCCTGTTAAGGAGCTCTGAATATCAAAACAGATCTATTTGCAGGATTTTATTTGGCTTAATAACAATTGTTCCCTTCCTTGGTTGAAACCTTAACATAGTGTCAGCCATGACGCATTTAGTGGAAGGAAGGGACGCAACAGCTAGAATTAACAAGCATATAACCGTAAGATATTTGTCCACTGCTATAACCAGATTTCTTCTGTTATACTAAAATGTATGAACTGTGGCTAGAATATTCAGCGAAAAATTGGGAATATATATATATATATATATATATATATATAACAACATTCAAGTGTCAGGTGAATTGAAACTGTCGTATGAAAGCAGGTGAAAGTCCACATTTTCGGGTGATCAGTGACTAGTTGATTCAAAGTTCATTCAAGATTCATATGAGTATCGGGAAATCACAACCTTAAAAATGACTTACAAGACAGATAATCATGAGTGGATTTTGAAACAGGAAAACAACAATCAAGTTTGTGTATTAAATTGCAGCCTGTACACAACATGCGAAAACTTATACTACCATACTACTGAAATTATACAAAACGTCTTGTTGAACCCATGGATTTATCTTTTCTCAATCATCCCAATGTATTATCTAAACTTATTACTAGCGTTAACAATGTAGTCATTTCAATTACCAATTTCATGTAGCATACGAAAGAGCCGTTCCTTAGCTGTTTAAGTGTAGTCAAACTCAGTGACCATAAAACCAAGTGCAAAATATTCTGACAGTGAAACAAATGCACACCCAAATATCGTTATCTATGTACGGTTCATTGCACTCAATGAAAGAATCATGTACATAATTCCGATATTCATTTGTATGCATAGACATAACAGAAATCACCAGTTAAGAAACTACACCGTTTTGAACCGTTTTCTGAGTTGAACGAGTTTCGTTTATCGGTGCGATACTGCCTACATCATTTACTGTTTGCATCGCAATGGAAAACGTCCGTATAACACCTTCCATATAGAATCCGAAATATCATTAAACCCGATGACTTAAGATGACATCGGGTATAGCTTGATGTACAAGCCAGTGATCATACATAGACAAAATAGCATTAGAGGGGCACCTTTAGATATATCCCATAACAATGCTTCTTTGAAATTTGTTATGTTTTAACCTCAGCAACGTTTTGATATCAACTATCCTGGTGCCCATGTTGTACTTTAAGTAATAAATCCTTGTACAATCCCTGGAGTGAACGGTGAGTTTCCATAACAGTTTGTTGCTACATTTCATTTGTTGTGTGGGGGCTGAGATACTGCCCGGGCGCCCAGACCGAAGCAGGTGGTTTTCTTAAGGGACCACCCCCCGAGCCTTTGACTTGGAGTCTAATCCGCAAGGCAGCGGAGCAGCGTCAGGAGCTGCGTTCCCATGGTTGCCGGTGACCCATATGGGTTCATACGCCATTTGATCCGATTGCATTCTGGAGCCTATGCACCCCATGGTAACTGCTTTTAGTCTAACCGCTATCTAAACAACCTTCTTGACATGGTAGGACCTGCAGGGACATGAGTCCCAGCCAGTTTAGCTTGTTGGGTCACTGCGGTATTCAAGCCCGACCACGACGGCAAGGTAGCAGTTATCGACCGGGCCCTGGAGTGAACTCACTGAAGTGACTTCAAGAATTCTACTTGTGAAATACTGGGATGATGTAAGCATTGTGGAACGTTACTTCGTGAGCACGGGATCAACAATCTACATAAACCAAGGCCATAGATGATGTTTATCTCACAATAACCGATTGAGAGACCGTTTCACTTACTTTAATTTACTGCATATTTATACGACGGTCCGTGTATTACAAATATTTAGTAAATCTAGCAGTTTAACACATGAACCGATATCAAATCAAAACGTAAAAGGTGAAACAACACACAAAATATAATAATAAATTCTAGAACATTTGTGTGTTATTCCTGGAAATTATTGGCTAATATTTCTGATTTATTCCGTGATTGGAAGAACTACACAACTTCAACAACTGGAAACAAGAATGTTTCTATTTACGAGCACCTAGAACGTTTCGGCGTACACTAGTGCTTCGTCAGGTGTGCACAGACTAATCACTATTATTATTGAGCAGTATTAGTCTTGAAACTAGCGCGAGGATGTGCACATTTTTAGGTCAATGGAAAGACAAATTCAAGTTACATTCAAATTTACAGATGTGGCAGATACTAGGGTGAAAACCGTAGGAACAACTGAAATCACGCTCCGGATGAGGCAAAACAGCATGCGAAGCGAGAATGTCTACTATGCAAATGTAAGCTAATCTAATACTCATCGGATGAAGTTAGCAGCACAATTCCATCATGGGATAAATTTATTTGGCAGCCGCACACAGTAACACAATATTATTTAATGGGAAGAAAAATATTTAAGCAACCCAAAGAAACAACAATGATCTGAAATTAGGGGCAAAATTGCTAGGTTTACTCATTAGATTGCATTTCGCTAATAATCATGTAATCACATTAGATTAGAGTATATTTGTATGCATAAAACATTTCTACCGTGTTTCAAGATACACAGACCACTCTTTAAAATGACTGTTTACTGATGTTAAATGATTTACTAGATTTCAAGACATTTCCGCAGAAAAATATATGCATACATATACCAAAAGCACATTTCTTTGAAGACATACATACCTGACTGCATGTTTTTGCATCCTCTAGGTCCGAGTTTAAAGATCCGTCCTCTTGGACACCACCATTTGCAGTCATTGCATAACCACTGCACACCACACGCAGAACCCGAAAAACGCAAAAATCCAAAGTGCGCGGGCTAATTCCTTCAACAATATCAATTTCAACAGTTCCGCTTACTCCAAAGAATCGATTTTCCTGAGGGGAAAGTCTATACAGGCTTTTATGCTGCTATAGAGCATTATTGTAGCGAAATATACGGATTTGGATACGAACATCGCGCGCGAACTTTGAAAAGGGAGTGAATTTTACACGCTCTTGTTTAATTTCAGCTTTTGTTGTGTTATACGTCCCAAAAGTCTATAGATTAACCTTAAATCAGTTTATCCTGATCAAAGTTAGTTTATTTTTCAGTTTTGAGTTTACTCAGTTATAGGAAGTCTGTTCTTATAACCTTATAGTTATATATATCCATTTTGCGCTCAAACTGCAAGAAGACCTAAACAAATTATCAGAGTGGTTCAGAGAATTCATACTCTGGATAAGTGTAGTAGAATGTGCATTAATGCGCACTGAACACGCAGGCATCAGCTCCAACGAACTAGAGGGAATAACACCCCCATCAGTTCAGTCTCATTTGGATTTAGGTGTTATAGTAAGTCACGATTTAAAAACTACAGCACACTGTCGCGTGGTGGGTAATTCAGAGAGCCTTTACTAGAATCACCCCCTTAAATGCATCTTTGGTGAGGCTAAGACTGGCAAACTATCCAGGCAGCCAGTCTCTGCCTTAAAGGGGACTCACATATTCTAGAAAGGGTTCAAAGGAAGGCAGCACATATGATTCTTGGCATGGTTAACTTATCATGTCATACTGTAGGCCGAGAGGAGATTTAATTGCATTGTTTAAAATTGTAAATAATGCCTACCGACCCAAATTTTTCTTTCTTTCCCTTCCCACTAGGTCAGGAACCCATTAAGGATATAGCAGTATAGCTCAAAAACCATTTTGCTATGGAGTTCTGGTTCTCACACCGAGTCACAAACTCCTGGAACTAACTCCCAGAAGAAGTGGAGTCTGCAACTTCAACTGATTCGTTCACGAAAGCTCTGAACAAGCACAGGAGTTTACCAGAAAGTGATTAACATATACTCTAAGCCTTCTATCCCCAACCAACAAATCTAAGTCTAAATCTATGTATTCAAAGTGCAAGTCTGGTGTCTTATCATTCGTTTCTAATATATATCTATGTGTGGAGCCAGGTATGCCGGCCGTACCAAGCTTTCGCTACCCAAAGGTATCACCGAACACTTACCGGTGTGGTTTAACAAAGGGGAGAAACGATGTCCCGCAGCTCTACCTTAGAACATCTGATAAATTCCGGACACAAAGCTTCACCCCAAACAAACTTCAAAGTCGTCTACAGAATACGAAGCAGTCTCCCCAAAAGTGTAAGAGTCAAACTTCTCCAAACTGCAGAGCCAACGGCAATTCATTCGCTAAGTCCTGAACTCTGCATAAAGGAGAACTCCGCTGGATCACTACACTTGCATTGGACGTAATCCATCTTAATACCCGACAGGTAAACTCTATTTCTTTCTGTCTCATTATTAGTATTATTTTGTCTTTACAATTGTAATATTTTACATTTTCAAACTTCCTGTTCCCTACACCCACCCGATTCAATTTCTACACTTCTTTATCACCGTTACTCACTTGACCGACGCTCAATTTCTGGTCATTTATGTTACGTCATCCAATTTATCTGCTCAATTTTGGTCCTAATTTAAACGAAATTATTCTCTACCCCACCTATACCTAGTCTCTACCTGTAATTACCTCTGTTGCTATCCTGAACTAGGTTGAAACATTTTGGTCGATTATATTACGTCATCTAACTTACTGACTCAGTCACACTTTAGTTGATATCTAATTAACCTTGTTTCTATATTAGGCCATTCCTGTATTGCCTGATTAATTATCTAAACTTGACGAACCTCATGTACACACACAAGCATAATTGTATACAAATGCAGCAATGCAATTGTACAGAAATGTGAATGAATTCGCCGAAGTCTCTTCGTTGAACGTCTTCTCTAATACATATATAATTCAACAATTATCCCACGACGCCTAAGCTGACCTTACTCGCAACAAAAGTGAAAAACATCGTTATATCACAATCATGAGGTATACATTTTAGTTTCATAAAAATTACAACTACCTCTCGTCGAAACGGAATGCATTATATCAGAGCCAATTGGCGGAATCTGATGGGCAAATCCTTCACTCTCTGGAACACCTTATTCTGCAGGAACCAGTGAGGTGTAACCTTGCCGAGTTTGCTAGCTCAGTTTTCTGGCCGGTCACGAACGCAGAAAAAGTGGGGGGGTTGGGCATGGGCCTAGTGACCCCATGCCGTAGAAACTTCAGCATAGTGTATCTAGTCCTTTGTTTGTTGCAGGTGGAATTCTGTCAGTCACGTTTGAATCGTGACCACCACGCTAGTTGGCTTGCCATCACTGCACATTTCGAATTGTTCACATTAGATGGTCGGAGGCAATCGACAAGAAGCCTTGAACCTAGGTTTCCTGTTAGTTGGCACTTGTCATCAAGGTGCACTTGCGATCTTGAAGGAACTCATGTCCCTCCTGAGATTCGAATCTGTGTCACTCAGTGCTGCAGTCAGAGACGCTACCACTCAGCTATATGGGCTCGCAATTGACTTCCTGTAGGAGTGTAATGGATATTTTTCATTGGGCACTAGTTAGCAATTAGTGTGGTGTGACTAGCCCTTTGTTTGGTGCAAGGTGAATAGCTCGGCGCTAACGTCTCTGATGCGGGTTCGAGTCTCAGGACAGATATAAATTCCTACAAGGTAATAATAATCACTTTATTCCACAACAATAACAATTTACAGCATGGAATTTTCAGCGTTTCATTTTACATTTTGCATTGGTTTAGCTCTTTTTATAATTATATAAATTTATGAAAGGTTAAAAATATTGATAATTAATAGGAAAAAATAAAAACCCCAACAAAATCACACCATTTCTAGGTCATAGTGAAATAATAAATAAATAATATAACAAATCACACATGCAATAATATGCATCATTGCATTTTATAGTTTAGTTAATGATTTAGAAGTTGTAAAAGTTCTTTTCTGATATTCGTCTCTTCACACAATACTCGTGCCAAATATGGTACGGTCGAATTTTTATATTTTGTAGTACGAGCATAAATGTTTATGAAATTTCTTCTGTTTACCCGAAGAGATACAAGGAAACAATTGTGAATAAAGAGGATGTTCACTATCAGACAAAATAACTTTAGCTAAGTGTTTACAAGAATTCATATGCCTATTGACAACAGTGTCGGTTAGTTGAGTCAAAGGGATAGCACTGACCCTACTTACAGCCTTCAATGTTCTTCGTAGTATTATATGGTCTTTCTTGAGTAGCCCAGGGAAGAATAATGGAGAACAATAAAGAATGATGGGCAAAACACATGAATTAATAAATTGTATGAGAAGAGATTGGGTTATACCTGAGTGCCTCAACTTCTTTATGTAATAAGTCAGACAGAAAATCTTTTTAGAAACTATAAGAATATGAGACGACCAGCAAAGGTTTGAAGAGAAACTAATGCCAAGATAAGAAACACTTGACTTACTCTCTATCATGTTACCATCAATATTACAACAATCATGAGATTGGATCAATCCATGCATGACTTTTTCACCTCCCAAGCTGAAATCAACAGTATTACATTTAGTTGGATTTAGTTTTAGACCATTTGAGCCAGACCAATCCTTAACTTCAGCTAAGAAGCCATTCATATGGGAACAATCCGATGTGGAAACTACAGGGACAGAAACGGTCAGATCATCAGCATACTTAATGAAGTTAACTTTGGGTGAGTTCGGAAGGTCATGCAAAAAGAAAGAGAAAAGAAATGGAGAAAGTACTGCACCTTGAGGCACACCACTTTCAGTTAGCTGAGAAGTGGAGCGCTTTCCAGCCAAAACAGTATGCTGTTTCCTATCCTTAAAATAAGAAGACAGCCATCTAGTTGCCCAGGTCTCTGTCTGTGGTGAAATCATCTTTCCTAATAAAAGTGTCCTAGGAACAGAGTCGAAAGCTGCAGTATAGTCTAAAAAAGCTGTTCGAACGAACTTAGCACCCTTATCAAGGCAGGAAAGAATATTGTGGTGTAGTACAATGGCTGCATCTAATGTACCTCTTCCACACTTATAAGCAAACTGCTTGGGGTCATTAAAAGCTTTTAAAGAAGGTTTAAGAGTATTCAGAAGAAGTTTCTCCATAGTTTTCAAAAAAGGAGATGTTATAGCGACCGGTCTAAACTTTATACCTGCTCCAGAAGATGATTTCTGCACAGATACAACCTTGATTTCTTTCCAGTCAGCAGGTACCGTTTCCTTGTTGAATGATGCATTAAAGATTTGAGTAAGAGGATGACACAAGATGTCTGCACACTTTTGAAGAAGAATGCCTGGTACACCATCTGGACCAAGGTTGTGTGTTGGATTTAAAGATTTCAAACATAATAGTACATCCTCTTCTTTAAAACCCGGAAAATGACCATTATCTTGACTAGGTACATCAGGTACAGGCATATTAATTTGCTTCATGATAAATGATTTGTTTAAAGCATTAACATCAGAATAAGCATCAACAGACATTTGTGTTTTACTTGTAAGTTTATTGAAAAGTTTCCAAATGTTTGAAGGATTTTTACATGATAAAAGTTTTTCATTATATAGTCTGTTCAACCTTTCTATTACAATTTTTATAAGGGTGTTTATTTTACGGACACCAGTATTATCACAATTCTTATACAACTTCTATTTTTGTCTTCTAAGTTTTTTCAGCTGCAAAGAAGAGATTCTGTCAAATCTCGAAAACAGTGTTTCATATGGACAGAAAATATCCAAACAAAACTTCAGATAATCGGTTATATTAGAGACAGTAGCATCCAACTTATCGTCAGTAAATAGTTCCCAGTTGGTATCATACAACATGCTTCTTAGTGCTAGAATGTTGTCATGGGAATATGAACGTTCATGTATCTTCTTTGTTAAATGACTAAACAATTTTTGTTGTAACTTGCCGTACACTTTCGGTAAAATACGAATAATGCAGTGGTCAGAGTTTAGCAAAGGAGCTCTCCTTCGGGTTTCATTTACATCACGGTCGTTTATGAAAACCAGGTCTAG